AGTTGATCATTGGAATGCTGTAGAGCATATATTATGTTACTTGAAGGGGACACCAGGACGAGGTATTGTTTATCAAAATCATAATCAGATGCGCATAGAATGCTTTGCAGATGCTGATTGGGCTGGATCTAAAGATGATAGAAGATCCACATCTGGCTATTGCGTCTTTGTTGGTGGTAATCTCGTCTCTTGGAAAAGTAAGAAGCAGAATGTGGTTTCTCGTTCGAGTGCTGAATCAGAATATCGGGCTATGGCACAATCGGCATGTGAGATAATCTGGATAAACCATCTATTGAGTGAAATCGGACTGAAGACACCAATGCCTGCTAAACTCTGGTGTGATAACCAGGCTGCTATACACATTGCCAACAACCCAGTGTTTCATGAGAGAACAAAACATATTGAGGTCGATTGTCACTTTGTTCGAGAAAAGATACAACAAGGATTGATCTCTACAGGATATGTGAAGACAGGAGAGCAACTTGGAGACTTGTTCACTAAAGCACTAAATGGAATTCGTGTTGGTTATTTATGTAACAAGTTGGGCATGATAAATATCTATGCTCCAACTTGAGGGGGAGTGTGAAAGACATTGGAATATGCTGTATAATATGCTTTAGAATATTCTTCTATCTTTAGAATATGCTTTAGAATATTTTAGGAATATACTCTAAGATATTATTATTGTATAGCATCTTATAGGAATATTCTATCTTTGTAATGTATATATATAGGGACTTATCCCTCCAATGAAATACACAGAAAATCTTTCCTCCACTCTTCAATATTATTCTAGTTTATATTTCAACACCTCATAATTCGTCATCGCCAGCACTCCAGCAGCTTCTTCGGTTCTTCCTGTTCGCCAGATTCACCGCGAACAGTATCTCCCAGTTCGGACTTGCAAACCGCCTCTCCCAGTTCGCAGGCATCAGTGCCAAGTTCGCAGGTTCCGTCTCTATCCATCTTCTTCCAGTATGCCAGTTTCATCCCTACCAGATTTTCTGAACTCGCATGCTTCATCTAAGTCTCAAATTCGCAATCCCTATCCGAGTCTCCAGGTTCGCAGCAGGAGTCAGTTAACCAGCAGCAACCTCCCCCTGAAGATACGTTCATGGATGTTGACAAGGGACCAGAGGAGAAATCGTCAGTGTTTGCTGGACTGGAAGCTGAACTAGACCATGATGTTGGAAATATAGAAGTGGATGATAGGTTTAGGCCTAATTAGGGTAAGTTACAGAGGTATTATAGAAGACTACAATGGAGAAATGAGCAATTGGGGAAGATGAATTAACAGTAAAGAAAGAGAAAGTCTAGGGCTGGAATGGAATGCCAGCCCCCAAGTTTCAAAGCCCAAGATAATACCCGCCTATCTCACAGAAAACAACTACCAGCCTTATATAGTATTCCTTCCCACCCTTTATTACAAATCAGACAGCTAATTAATAATCCCCTTCCCTCTTCTAATGTAAACTTTACCAAAATAGGTATTACTTTTATTAGTATTATTAATCTGCTGTCTTCCTTGATCCCTATCAATGGAACTCTGCCCGCTTGGAAGAATTGTAAAGGCTTCTATCTCCTCACTTGGGCTAATAAAGCTGGGGGCAGATCAGGACAGGGAAGCAAAGAGGTTTCAGGAATCCTTCTGCAGTGAGCTGTTTGGAAAACGGTTTACGCGCGCATCAGACCATAGTTCTGAATGGTGTACATTGATTGGAATGGAATTCATCCCTCTGTTGCTGCTGTGGAATATGGGAATAAAAATGCTTGGCTTAATGCTGAGTTGTCTGAAGCTAACAGGTGGAATGGTTTTGTCATAGAAATCAGTTGGATGCAATAAGTACTGATTGTATAGAACAGATCCACAGGGCCAATATATCAGCTGGTAGAAATAGTGTGAGGGGTATGCAACCGGGTATGGTTGTGTTTGCTATCCGTTCAGGAAGAGTCTGTTCTAATTTGGAAGCTGTTCCAGGTTCATCCTCTACAAGCCCATTCGAAGGAAACACTGAAGAAGCCCCATCTACCTATTCATCCTATGATGACAACTTATAGAAAAGAAACACAGGATTGTCAGTGTTAATGGAGCCAGAGAGTAACAGCAAAGTTGGGCACTCTGGAGCTGCACAGGGCTTTGAGCGAGGTGAAGCATATGTTTGAAGAGGGTGACCATATCTTGGAGGCACAAAATGCAAAGCACTATGCAATTTTTTATGCGCCTTATGATACTGAAAGTATCAGTCCATGAGGTGTAAATGTCTGAAGTCTGCTGTGATTCGAAGGGTTTGACCGCAGCTGGATGGTGGGAAAATATTCTTGCAATTCACTTCTGAGAAATCTCTGACTGAACCTTATGCTGCACACACCATTCTGACTACTGATTGCGGAGAATCTGCTATCGTTTTTGGAAACAGCACACCGATTCGTGATGCTGACAGAGATTGGGAACCCCAGATGGATCTACAGGAACTTGAAAGATGCTACAGTGCTACAGGATTGGTCAGATAAAACCTGTTCATGTTTGCAAGCTTGCAACAGCCCAATCAGTTGAAGAACTGATTCTAAACAAAGCATTTAGTAAGCTTAAGTGTGAGCAGTTGGTCATTGAGAAAATTCAGTTCCAGCAACCAGTAAGTTACCTTGCTGATTTGTTAGAAACTAAGAGTATGGATCTGCAACTAATAGAGAGGCTTCAAGATTGTGGCATGTTAAGGGTTTCAAAGAGGCAAGAGAAAGAATCAACCATGGATGTCGAGAAAGCAAATAAGGGCAACACATTTCAAGATGCAACAACAATTCATAAGGATCAAGAAGGATCAGAGTTATCTGACTGCAAAAGAAGAACATCTTTGGATCCTGTCACGCAAGGAGATAATGCCATTCCATATAAGGCTGATGGACCTATTGTATTAGGCATGAATAAAAGAAAGATGAGAAAACTGTCAAATAGGTCCTCGAACTTTCAAAAAAAGGTCAATTAAGTCCTTCTATAGGAGGTTCTGTCCGGCCGTCACGATTTGGGGTAGTTCCCGGTGGAATTTTTTGATGAAATTTCTTAAGCATCTTATTCACCAAGTGTAGTTTACTCATACCAAATTTCAGCTAAAAATTCAATCGGGAACACATTCAAATTAATTCTTGAAGATAACTGCGCATTTCTGCGTTCTCGAATTAATTTGAATGCGCTCCCGATTAAATTTTTAGCTGAAATTTGGTATGAGTAAACTAGACTTGATGAATAAGATGCTCAAAAAATTTCATCAAAAAATTCCACCGGGAACCTCCCCAAATCGCGAAGACCGGACAGAGTCTCCTATAGAAGGACTTAATTGACTTTTTTATGAAAGTTCGAGGACCTATTTGACAGTTTTCCCAAGAAAGATTGATGATACATTTGCAGATTCTATTGAAATTCAAAATGATATTGATGGCTTGAGCAATGAGAGACCAGTGAATACTGATACTTAGGATGTGGGTGAGGAAACTGAATTTGTATTCTTAATTAATGACTCTGTAAGAGAACAGACATGGAGCACTGAAGGAGATAAAAACCATGGCAAAAAGGATCACTGTGTGGAATTATCCAAAAGAAAACTATCAGTCCTTGGCTATGAACTGAAAACAAGACATGGTGACCGCCTCATTGCTGAAGCTCTTGATCCAAATGGGATGGTTTTACCACTTCAGGTTGTCGGGCTCTGAGCAATCTTGCTGGTGATGCCCCAAACTGTCAAGGCAAACCACCTACACCAATTAACCTGGTCAAAGCTTCATTGCCAGTTGTTCAGCAATTAATCCATATGCAGGATGAAGAAGTTACGACAGATGTTTGTCGAGCACTTTCACAGCTTTTAACGGTTGCAGTCTTGCAGACTCTGGAGTCAATTGTCCACATATCAAGGACTTCATTTCATCGCTCATATGGTGCTTGAGACACTACAGGCTACTAGCAGGGCAGAATCTGTTGCCAGCATTGATGCTCTAGAAGTTTTAGAGCAACCTGAAGGAATAATCCTCCAAGGTGATGACTGCAGTGAGATGCAGGAATTAGTTGGATGGCGTGAAAATCCTAAGGTGAAGAACATGAAGATGAAGGTTCAAGTACAGAAGCTAAAGGTACAGAAATCAATGATGTACTGGGAAGGAAGAGGAGCCAGGATGAAGATGAAGTTGAAGATCAAAGCTATTTCGTATCACCCACCTTGAGGACAAGGTGGTTGTGTAAGGGGGAGATATGATAGGGTCCTAAGCTGGAGAGAATAATAATATTAGTAATAGAATGATATTAAATAATTGTGCTTCTGTAAAAATAAGGGTTCCGGGCCATGTAAGTCATGGGTTTGGGCCGGTCCTTTGGAAAAGAATTAGTAGAAGAGTGAGAGGAAGAAAAGAAGGAGGTAGGCAGAAATTGGGACTCGAAGTGTCTCAATTAATTTTCCGTTTCTGTTTCTTCTCTTTTTTGTACGCCGGTCCTTTGGAAAAGAATTAGTAGAAGAGTGAGAGGAAGAAAAGAAGGAAGTAGGCAGAAATTGGGACTCGAAGTGTCTCAATTAATTTTCCGTTTCTGTTTCTTCTCTTTTCTGTACGCTAGGCTACGGTTTCTGCCATTGCAATTGCTTCAGGAATTCTGAAATTTCTCTAAATTCTTTACTTATTATACACAAATTGTCTGGTTCCTATCAGATCCTCATGGACCTCAACTTTCTTCAGGACCTAATTTAGTCCTTGTGCACATTTAAATATAAAAAAGGGTATTTTTATTCGTTGAGGACTAAACTTAGCCAAATTTAGTCCTAAATTTAGTACAGACAGATATGTTCTTATTAAAATCCATATGTTGTGAGGGATAATTTGAGTCCGAATTTAAAAGTAGGCCCATATTAAGTTATACACTAATAAACTAGTTGACCAAACTAAACAATAGCATACAGCTAGATATTGACTCTAAAAGTTTCATGCATTAAGATTTCGACCTTGGCATGGTGTTTTTTGCATACCTTGTCAAACTCCAGGGTCAATACAGCTGACTTCACATCACATGCTAATCTCACCATAAGCTCCATTATTCCGGGAGAAACCTTGTCTTCAGAAGGTGACACTCGCACCTTCTCAATGATATCTTCTACATATTTGATATGTCCATCCACAAAAATCTTAAGTGTATGATAATAGACCTTCACATACCAAGGCACAACTTGAAAAATACTGACCCGCAAAAAGCATTTTCCATCTACCGCAGTAGCACACTGTTCATTGTCACTTATTTTTGTGGTCTTCAAAGAGATAGCTATTGCACCCCCTACATTCCCGCTTCCCATCAGGAACCTACTTGCATGCAAGGGTGCTAACTGACTTGACCACCTCACTGGTAGCTTCCACCTGAAGCCCAGATCAAAAGGTTTGGATTGTGTGTAATTTTCAATTGAAAATTCAAAGAGGATGGATTTCTCCTCTTCCACTGATCCATATTGTTCTTTTATCACCCTAACAGGAGGCAAAGACATTTCAAATGCTGGGTTTTTCCATGAACCTTCTGATATATCACCTTTCTTCAACTTAGATACTAAATTCTGCTCAAGATGGACATACACACTACTAGACTGGGAAAGAGAGCATTTTTCGTAAACTTTCCTTCCAAACAAAGAGCTAAGAGACCAGCTAGGTTGTAATATCAGGCCATCAAAAGCATTCATTCCAGCTTCAAAAGTATTTGGTTGAAGAACTGTTGTGAGAGTTTGTTCAAGCACTATTCCAGAACTTGATGCTAAAGACCGTTCGCCTGAAAAGGTCGTGATGAAATATTTTTTAGACCTTGCCTAGTCTGGAACTCTCTGATATGGAGTCAGCATGTAACTAGTATTCTAGTTTAATATGGGCAGTAAATGTTTGTGATCTTATAAAAAAAATGCATGAAATATAACATCTTGTCTGGTATGGTCTTCCTGGTCTGGTTTGGATCTTTATGTCTTGTCTGATCTAAATGTTTCAAGTCAAGTCTGGTGAATTGAATTAAGAGTATATATTAAGTAAAAAGAATAGGGTGAAGAGAACAAACCTAAATCAAACTCATCTGAAACTAAGTGCAATCTTTGAGAGTGATAAAATCCTCTATATAGAGATGGTCTGTCCATTAATGCAGCAATTCCAGATTTATCTCGACAAGGAAGCAACTTTAACCAGGGAGTGAGGTTCTCAGTACAAACAGACTCGCGGGGTAGTGAACCATATCTGAAGTTTCCAGAAACTAATGGGAAACTCCACCTCGGAGAAGTATGAGCAGTTGATGACTCCAAGAAGTTAATGGAAGCACAAAAGAGGCCTGAAAGAGCATGTGTTAGATTTTTCCAGAAAGATTCAACTTGATCTTCAGGGACATCAAAAACAGCCCAGAGTTCAACACCAGGGGGCTTTGCATTGCTGCTCACAATTGGATCATATCCACCCCACTGTTCATAATTCCACCGCCCTTGTGTGAAAGACAGCTCCATTTCTCTTATGTGATATTTATGTACCTAAATTGCAGTTCAAAGTTAGTGCAAAGTGTGAATCTCTTTACTCTTATATAGCATTCAAATCACACATTGGAATATTAAAAAGATGGTTCTACAAGATCTTGGACAGAACTAGCTAATTGATTGGATCCAATGTTTTAGTGTGATTGGATCCAATGTTTTAGTGTGATTAGGCAGTAGGCACAAGTGTTTTATGGCCCAATTGAGTGTTTCCTGCCCAATCTTGAATTCTGGCATCTACAACAACATCCAAGCCTTATTCCCAAAAGATTTTGGAGTCAGCTTGAATTCTATCGTCAAGATTAAACTAAAAATGCTCTAATCCCATGTATACCCAGGAGGAGAGAATTCAAAGAAAAGCAGAAAAATAAGTAAAAAGTTACTAATTGAAGATACAATACAAAAGACCCCAAAATGAGATTCTGTATGGAGAAGTGTCTAATTTTTTTTATAAGTTTCATCAAATCCCAGCAATTGACCGATGAAGTGAGATATACTAGAGCTACTCTTCCCCTGAATGTTTTTCCACATTTCCTTTTTTTGGCTATCCATTCATTTTTTTGTTGACAGAATTGTGTGGTTGATATTGATTCTTCCCTACATAAACAAATCTCTAACCAGGCAGTTACTTTTTTAGTTCGTGTGCGAAAAGCACATGAGAAGAGCAAGTGGGGAGGGAGAAAATATTATATATAATAGAAATTGATACCCACAGTCGTGCAAATTTTAAACACCCGACATTGTTAACTACAGCTTCCTACATGCAATTTAGTAACAAATTATGAAAGAAGAAAATAAACAAGCAGTTAATTAAGCTATTAAAAAAATCAGTGAGAATAAAAAACAAGGGAAAAGGGTCAAATAAGCCCTTCTACTGTTTCCAACCCATCACTTAAGCCCCTACACTAAAAAAAGTATCACATAAGAACGCTTACTTTAAAAAATCAATCAATCTGGCCATATAATCAGTTTTTGACTTCTAATAGCAGTTTTTTATATCAAAAACTTAAAAAATTGTTTAAATTTGAGGAAATATACATAAAAAATGTGAAAAGTTTGGGATGTTACAACAACAACAACAACATCCAAGCCTTAGTCCCAAACGAAATTGGGGAAGTTTGGGATGTTAAAGTCAATATTTTTCATTTTTGAAATCATTTGTATATTCTACATCTATTTAAAAGGTTTTACCTTTTTTATTTTTTATTTTTTACATTTTCACTTTATTGTTTCAGTTTTCTAATTTTTTTTAATGTTATTTAAATATTTATCTATTTTACATTTATACTATTTTTTATATTATTATTTTTCAAATTTATATGAATGTTTATAAGATTTATCAATAGTCCTAATTTTTTTTAAAAATTAACCTGCTATAAGAGGTCAAAATGGCTTGATAGATTGTATCTTAAAAGTAAGCGTACTTATATGATACTTTTTTAGTAGAAGGGCTTAAGTGATAAATTGGAAATAGTTGAATGGTCTATTTGACCCTTTTCCCAAAAGACAATGAATCATATCCAGTAGCATATTATATTAAACCGCTAGCAAAGCAGAACATAAGTAAATATTAAGTAGATATGATTTACGAGTTGATAAATTGATTTGGGGAAGAGATGATGATGCCGGCCATGAGTGTCAGTTGGTGGAGCTTTGCTTTCAAAGTGGAAATGGGAAAGCACTTTGCGATCAGGGAGAGGCCTCAAAAGAAGCGCTTCTGAGAACTCCTCTTCCCCAGCTATTATTGATATGTAGCTCAAAAAGATCGTAAGCAATATCAACATTGACTTTAACCTAACCATCTCTGATATGCCTTTCCACCAAAATAAGAGAATCAGCATGGGGTGTGGCCAAGGGTCTCAAATTTGTTGACAGTTAGCTGGAAATTAGTAGATGTTGAATCAGCCAAAACAAAATGCAAAATATTGTGTACGAAATTGAAGATGAAAAATACAAAAAACAAAAGATATACCTTCAATGAATCAGCTATCAGCTATTCTTGGTTGTCCACCTACCGAACAAGGCAACCCCCCATGCAGTCGAATCTACCAAAATGAATCATCTCCCATATCTGTCACAACGAAGACAGAGCTGCTGCAGTGAAAAACTCAGATTCCCGGAGCCGTCAAGGTCTGACCTTCTGGTCTAAGTCATCAATGAAGCTAAGCCTATGCGTGAGCATTCGCTTGATCGGTTCAGATCGACAACTGAATAACCAAATGAAAATTAATTTTCAAATAACTTATCGAAACCGACAGAATGATCCCTATAACTAACTAGGAGAAAAAAAAATGTCCGGCTAAGCCCGGTGACTGCATAATCAAACATACATAATCACATATAGACTATGGAGCTTTATCAGATGTAGCATTTCTTATTCTTGTTAGACATTCACGTGAACACAAGGGAAAAAGGGGAGGATTTTTTCTAAAGCTTGAATATTTACACTTAACTCGAAAGCAATGATGTAAGTAAGCGGGACTTGCATACATTCATGATAGACGGTTTTAAAAATAGGTCCACTGGTCTCATTTGGTTGATACCGTCATACTGGTCTGAGAGGAAAGGGTCCCTCTGTGAACAAGCTGATAAATCCAGCACTCATGGAAGCTTACCAATAAGTATTTTTGTTCACCCCACGGCCCCACCCAAGAGGCAGTCAGATCTAGCCATTTAGGACAAAAAAATTGTCTAGTTGGAATAACAAGAAAAAACATACAATCTCATCAAATTCAATAGGAGAATACAGCGGTAAAAGGGCAACCCATTCAACCCTTAAAATGGTTCCCCATCTGGTTTATATTAAGTGTTGTTTTGGTGCAAATGTCACAACTCACAAATTAACATCCACAAATTAACAACCCATAAAAAATGACGATTTACCCCTCCATGTCCTACTACCATTTGAAAATTATGGAGTACTAAAGAGCAGGAGCGGACCTAGCATTTCAATCCAGTGTCGGCCAAAAATTAAATATTTATAAAATAACTTTAATCGCAACAAAAAGTAAAATATAAAAAAAAATCAAAGATGCTTTACAATAATACTCTGTATGAGTTTTCACTAAGTCAAATAGAAAAGACACATCACAAAGTCACAATTCTGTACGGTATTTCATAGGCTGACATTGCTTGATAACAAATTCATTGTAGATTTCCAGGAAGATTTTTATTCAGGAATACTAATCATATTAGTACTAGGCAACATGCAGGGCCGGACCTGTCGATTTCAAGGCCTAGGAGCGGGAAACGTATAATGGGCTTAATCTTAAAAATTTGCAAAAACCTTTTCTTGTCTAAACTAACATGCATAATAATAATACGTGAAGACCTTTATAATAAAGAAAAGACTTTTATAATTCGTTAAATTATAAAAAGAAGGTGTTAAAGAAGTTATGTAACATCTTGTTACAGCTCAACTAAAAGGGAAAAAAATAATGTTGAGTTGATGGAACAGTTGAACACTTGAACCTCGTGGGAAAGAAGAGAAGAATATGTATAGTAGCTCATTGACTATGCAGCTTTGCAACCATCCAGCTTAGTACTAATAAGCCAATTAAAAACTCAAAACAGAAATGTAAATACATGAGAATTATTGGATCAAGGCTATGTTCATTGACTCTCAAGGCCAGCGCCTTACGAGGGCTCTCTAAACCATGGGCGTAGTTAGAACTTAGAAATGCATATCAATTATCATATAGTATAAGGAAAGCCTCAACATATTACCTTTCCAAAAAAGGTATTGGGATTTTGAAACAAGGGAAGCAGGGAGTGAGGAAACAAGCTGCAGAGTCAAAGTTATGAATGGGCAATGTACTATGTTACATATGTGTGATTAGACTAATTACAAAATAACAACAAATTAAGTACATAATAACAAGTTTTAATTACACAATAAGTTTTAACAAGTTTGACATAACAACAGGGGCGTAGCCAGGACGGATGTTCAGGGGGGCGACTTTAAACTAAAAACACTATATAAAATTTTTAAGTGTAAATAGTGTGAACAATTGAACATAATGAATAAAATCCATTAAAATTTATAATAATATTTTTAAACAGTACCTACAAGGCTACAATATTTGAAACTAAAACATTAACGGAACACTACTTTTTTTTACCTTAGCAAACTCATCTATGACAGACTCAAAGTCTATTTTGTTGGCAAATTCCTTTTCAATAAAGATGGTCAAACGATCGGCAAGAAATTCATCATTCATCTTGTTACGGATTTCATTCTTCAAGTGTTTCATGGCATTCCTAATTTTCATATTTCCAATTCACAATTCAAAGCACACAAATGAATTGGGACGCACTAAGTGACTAACACAAACTAAAATAACAATAAAATACCTAAATTCATATAAAATTTATAAAAAAACATAAAAATGATAACACCTTACCTGTGTGGCTGTGTGGACACTCGAGAGAAGCAGCGTTGCTGCGCAGACTAGCATATGAACAGGAGCAGGCGAGCAGCAGAAGGGGGGCGTGCGGCCTCCGGCGATGCGAGCGGCAGAGCGGGCGATCTGCGGCGTCCGGCGATGAGAGCAGACGAGCAGTGGCCAGTGGTCTGCGGCGTGCGTCCAATTCATCCGATTCTGATTCTAATTTTGATTGTGCTTTTAAAAAATAAGCAGAAGCCGAATGAGTTCCAAACACCTTAAATCTTATATTCCTATTCACGGCCTCTATTTTTTTACCAAGTATCTGAATTGAAAACTAGTCTTTGACCGGGATAACAAATGAATTAATTTGTTACAAATATTACTCTATATAAGTAACATACTATGTAATACTTATTAGGTTTATCAATAATCCATAGAAATGCACTCTTATCAAGAGAATAACACAATAAATTATAGCATTGTAACATATACCAAATTTAGCATGGCTAGTTTTTTGTAATTTTAGCGCGTCTGCATTATGAAAAAATCACCTCACATAAATAAATTTTTTCAAAAATTTGAATGGACGGAACGATTGCAGCTACTATATCTGTGATATTAGACATTGAAAGCTAGGAGCAGGCAAAGGCCAAATCCATAATGGACTTTAAAACACCAACATTTAAAATTCAATTTAATTAAATTTAAAGTTCACAAATGTGATCTTCAGTTATAACCCGTAAAACTGCAACAAATTATTTTCTAATTATAGTTTCCATAAACATAAAAATTACCCATAAAACATGGAATAAATTATGTACGATAGCAATGAATAGATTTCTTGTTTTTGAATTTTACATTGACCATGTTTGGTGATGCAATGGGAAGTATAAACATAACTGTTGTTGTGATCTTCGTCCAATCGCTACAACTTTTTCTCAATGCTTAATCTTATTTCAAGCCGCCTAGGTCGATCTAGGGTTTGTCTGGAGACAGCTCTCTGCCGTTTCTCCGAGTCCTTTATTCGTTGGATGTCTCTTTGGATTGTTTGGAAGATGTTGTCTATTGTCGAAGACGTTGTACGGGTTCCTCGGGTCTCCGATCGCGGGTTTCGATCGCAAAGAAGGTCTGGTTCGATGGATATGGTGATGAGACGAGCGGCGGCTGATTCGAGGCGGCTGGATCGAAGGAGCCTCGAGCTGCGGCAAGGGACTGACAGAAGGTTCAAGCAACAATTTTGCATGGAAAGCTTCAGGGACATGTCTGATGTTGAGGTTGTGGCGGATGAGCGACGGGCGCGTCCCCCTCCTGAGCCGCCACCATGGAGTGCAAGCAAATCTAGGGTTTTAAAGAAGACTTATCTTGTTTGCTTTGTTTGTTTTTCCAGTGATTTTTATGTTTGTTTTGTTATTTGCTTTTTCTTTATTGTTCATATTTGTAAGACGTTGATTTTGGATATGGGGATTGAGAGGAATAGGGTGACCGTTTCTGGCTGTATGTTTCCCAATTATGGATCAACGGATTTTATTGTTGCGGCGATTAATTCAGAGTCTGGTTCGAGGGATAACGGTTGTCAGATTCCTTTCTGTCTTTTGACCCATAGTCTGACAACTTATTGTTTATTAATATAAGCCGAATTCCTCCAAAAAAAATCTTATTTCAACATCAGCGATCAGCGTTTTGTATGGTGAGATAAGTGTGTTGCTAAAAAAGCACTTGCTTGACTTTTCACTATTCACATCTCAAGAAAAAAATATTCACTGGGGTATACAACAAAAGGAAATATTAAATAAAAAAACATTCTTGTTGAGTGCATGACTGATAACTAAATTCACATTTGGTAAACAAAATTTATAAATAATTTTTATATCATAAAATAATTTCACATTCAGTTTGAGAATATTGATGTATCTATAACACAATGTAGTGTATATTATAATGAATGTAGAACTTCAAAGAACATAATAGTGAAGATTCACATTGTGAGTCATCTCATATTACATATCATAGTGCTCAAATACAAAAATAAGCACAAAACACTTTTTTTATATCTAAACTCCACATTTAAGTGCCGCTCCACCTGAACCAATGAACCAAGGTTAGAAACTTAGAAAGCAGTGTAGAACATAAAGTTTGTAGCTTGTAAAAGTTCATCATCCCTGATTATATACCTGGCCCCAGTTTTACCCGGTGGAGGGTGTGGCCTTTGTGATGCCCAGATTGTTCCCAGCTTGACGTAGTTGGGATTAGCTTATCGTTTTAGACTTGGGCTGTCTTTGTTGTGTATGAGGATATTCGTCGATCGAATAAATAAACAATAGAATGATTACAAACATAATTTATTGTTCTTCTCATTGCAAGACAATTTTTCTACTGTTGGGCAAGTGTCTGTTGCCTGCTACTTGTAGTGCAGAGCATATTCCAAAAGTTAAGCTATAATAAACGGCTGATCAATTTCTCTTACTAGCTAGGTAGAAAAGGGCCTTGCAAGTGAACCCTTCATGCACAAGTTGATTAATTGCATCCCTCAGCTTGACGTAATCATCAATTGTATTGTAAATTTGATGAGAAATTCGAGCATATCTTGTAACACAACTAATCTCATGACCTCATCAGTGTTTCCATTCAACTCCCCATCTTCTGATCCCTGATAATGAATCGGGACTTCCACCATAAAATGATTTTCTCAAAATTGTTTTCAAATTTTAAAGCATCAGCTGTTGTCAGAATTCCCAAGCATGTAGGCAAGCCAATCATAGCCATGCTATGACACATGTCTGGACGTGACCCGAGACGTGTTCCGGTCTTCGGTCCATAGAAAATGATCGGTTCCGGACCGGGTCATTCAGGTACGGAACCGGAATCGGTTCGGACCGTATTTTAGACCTGAACCGGACCGTGTCATTCCGGTCCGGTTCAGGTCTAAAATACGGTCCGACCCAGTTAATGCACAGCAAAATACGGTCATTCCGGTCCGGTTCAGGTCTAAAATACGGTCCGGACCGGTTAGATTCAGGTCCGGTCTTCGGTCCATAGAAAACGATGATTCCGGTTCCGGTCCTAACCGGTTCCGGTCCGGTCCGGTTTTGGACCGGTGCACACCCCTAGCCAGCAGCAGAGCTACTCCTCATAAGCGTGTATCTGCAAAATGTATGCCCTGTTCGAACTCTTTTATGCCCTTTTCGATCTTGGAATCCTATCTTAATCTTAATAAAAAACAAAAGGCTGCAGTTATTTATTTACAAGGTAGGGTTGTGGAACTCAGTGTTTTAGCCGCCCTAATCCTCGAGTGGACTAAATTAGCACTGATTTTCCGAGTTAAGGTACCTCTCAGTCACACTTACACAATCATGTACTCTTTACTCTCCCGCTCACAATTTTGTGTACTCATTTGACACTTTTCTCGTAATACTCCCTCCGTCCCGCAAAGAAGTTCCCATTTTCCTTTTTTAGCAACCCACCAAAAAGAAGTTCTTCTTTCCCTAAATGAAAAGTTATGCTACATCAAAACAGTGTCAAACAGTGCCAACCAGTGTCGAACAGTGTCAAACAGTGTCGAAACAGTGTCAAAATAGTAACATTTACCCCTGGTAAATTTATTTCCTTAACATGTGTGTAGGTCAAACCGGGAACTTCTTTGCGGGAAGTATATAGGTAAAAACCTTTAAGGTTATAATGGGAAATCCAAAAGTAAAAAATTCATCACATGATTCACATCAGATCATCCTGTCAGAAATGCGTAAAAAAAAACTCTTTCTACTCTTCCGTCTCTGGGGTGTTTGGATCTGATTCTCAAACTGATTCTGCTCCTTCAGGGAGCAGAAGCAGAAGCTGGAGTGTTTGGGTGAAATTCCAGAAGCACTTCTGGTGCTCTAATTTACTCTCAGAATCAGTTTTTTTAGAAGCTGGTAGGTACCAACTTCTGAAAACTGATTCTGATTTTGCTTCTGCTTTAAAAAAGAAGCAGAAGCAGAATCAGTTCAAAAAAAAGCTGTGACCCACCGCCCAACGCCAACCGCAGTACCACTGTTTTTCAGCGCCCTTCCCTTGCTTCCCTACGACTCTGCACCAGCCTTCCGCCGCACGGCTCATCTGTACGACCTTACCGTCCCCGCTCAGCGTCTTCGAGCTCCACACTTTGTCGCTTCAGGCTGCGTCTCAATCGATCTAGGGACTCCAGGTAACTAGCGATTAATCAATGCTGTTGCTCTGTTTTTTATTCAATTCCAGCATCCTCAAACATTCCGCAGATTTTATTAATTTTCTACTTTAATGTATTTGAACTGGCTTAACTGGAATTGTCAAACCACATATATGAAATAAATATTGCACACCTTTCCTTCATCTCTGTTTCTCTCTGAATCTCTCTCGCCTCAGCAGGTACGAGTATTGCTTCTAAGCTTACAAAATAATTTCGAATTAATGAAGCAATACAATAATTTCTAGTTTTATGTTTGAATCACGTATTGAAAATTTTCTGGTTGTCTTTCTAAATTTAGTTAGCGAAAATCTATCTGCTTTACCAACTCCTTTTTCATATGAGTAGTGTTTTATAGTCAGGGGCGGAGGTAGGGCACTGGTCCGTACTGGGCCGGTACAAAGAATATTTTTGAAAATTTTTTTACACAGAATTTTTTACACTAAAAATACAAGCATTTTTAAAATTTGGGCTGGGCCAGGGCCAGGGATGGCCCTCCCCTAGCTCCGCCCATGTTTATAGTGCACCACATATACGTAATTAACTAATTATGTACTATTGGGCATTGGCTTAACAACTCAAGCCTTTGTTATCATGTAGTTGTTGTAGGCCAACTGTTTATAGATTTCCTAAGACACCCCGCATTAAGGGCTCGTTTGTTACTATGTAAAGTAAACACTTTGCGTGTAAAGTGGAGGGGAGTAATTATTTTACACCGTTTGTTTTAATTATTTGATATAAACTGTAGGTCACTTTTTTTTAAAACATTTTACACTGTACCGTGTAAAATAGTTTACGTGGGGGAGGATAGTAAACTAGTTTACATTCATTAATTAATACCGAGTATTATCATATTTAACGATTTAATACGGAGTAAACTTCTACGATTTATACCTACGCTAGAAATTATGAGAGTGGCAGCAAAAACAAAAAAAACTTTGACGGCAATAAACCAATTTCATCTCCTATATAAACACACAAAATCGTAAACCATATCTCATAATATCTCCTTGATTGCGTTGCCCTGCTCTCCGTATTGCAAGAGGTACGTTTGTGCTTCTGTTTTTAGTTAATTGGCATGTTTATTTGAGATGTTTTGTGTAATTTGTGGAATTTATTTTTGAAAGAGATTATCAAATTATGTTCCGACTTTATTTGAGTAAGTGGATTAAAGAGTAAGAGCAGATTGCACGTCGTTCTCTTAACACGTTTGGTACTATGTATGTTTTACGTGTGATGTTATTCCCAAACAAACAATGCAAATAGTTTGTGTGCAATTTAAAAACAGATTGCACACATAACCAAATGATATATTTCTATTTTACATGCAAACTAATCACACCCTACACTTTACATGTAATCATTTTGCGTGTAAAGTTTTAATGTGCAAAGAACCAAACGCCCCCTAAGTGTGTGCAATCTGCCCGATTGGGATGTCATAAAACATTGTTCCTAGATAAATTGCTGACATATCTATCCATAGATTTTGTTATTTGGTTAATGACTTCATTTGAGTGATTAAATATTTATTATTTTGTTGATCATAAAGTTATATTTGAGGACAACTAAAAAATTTATCATAATCCATTAAAATCACACAAGTCTATGGTAGAATTTGATAGATTCTGTAAAATCTGTTTTAATATGATAGAATCTGTAGATTCTGTTAAAATCCGAATTTATAATAATTTCTACAGTTCTACGGCTTCTACCCAGAGGCTTTGTATGCATTTTGAGCATGTTGAGAATAAGATAACAATGAATTCATCTATTTTGGCACATGGTGAATTGCAGGATGAGATTTATTCAGGGCATTTTGTTATATGTCGATACCGGGGTTTCTCGTAAGCTGTGTAGTCCTCAAGTAATCAGGACCTTTTCTACGAATCCGGCATTTGGTTTGTACTGAATTTTAGTTGAGGTCTATACTATAACAACCTCATGTTTCTATATTCGGGGTGATAAATATATCTTGTTTCCTGTTACAGATAATAACAACCTGAATCAAAGCTCATTTGAGTCTGCTGATCACTCTGAGCAACGACCTTTTGGTGACACTTCTAGGAATTCACCAACTTTTGGACCCTTTTACCAACACTTTAGTTGGGCTCAGAGAGACAACACACCTTCAAATATGGGATATGGTTTGTAATGACTTCTTATACTGTTTTGGTTATATTTTGTTGAGGTCTTCATGAATTTCATGTTTCTTGGAACTGATAATAAAAATCATAATCAAAGCCCATTAGAGCCCCCCACTTACTCAGAGAAAGGCTTGTGGGACCGGGAAAGCACCAAGCCATAAATCCCTATATGTTGCATGGAAACGTGAGAAACATGGGGGAACATGAAAAAGGAAATATCATCTTCTAATAGAAAAACAAGTGTTTGGAGAGTTTCTAAAGACCGAAATGAAAATGTGCTAATTACCGATTGTTTCTGTGCTTCATAGATAAACCCTTTTACCATAACCGTGAATCCGTGATAGGGTTCCGATAGATCATAATTCTTCTAATATTGGATATGGTTTGTATTTATGTTCCTTTTTTGTTGAGGTCTTGATTAATCGCATGCTCCTTTATAATGATTATAAATGTGCTTCATTTTTTGTACAGGTAATGCCAAGCTTAATCAAAGCCCATTTAGATCTTCCAATTACTCTGAGCAACTGCCATTTGACGATTCCACGAATACAGGATTTGGTTTGTACTATTTTTAGGTCTTTATTTATAATCTCATTTTTCTATCAGTATTCTTTATATTTTTCTTTTTCTTCTTGGTCCAGATAGTAAAAGGTTTAATCAAAACTCATCAGAGTTTGGAAATTACTCTGAGCAACGACCTTTTGGTGACACTACTGGGAAAACACCTGAACATAAAGCATTTTACCAAAAACTTGATAGGGCTGAAAGATCTTTCCAGGGATCCCATTTCAATTCTGGAAATAGTTCAGCATTTGACGGTCTGGATGAAGGCATTAACACATTGTGTGATGGAATGGAAAGTAAGTTGAAGCAGGCCGCTGCGTATTTTGAGTTTGATCCTGATGAAGTTGAGAAAGATGATTATTCCTTCCGAAAGGACATCACTTTTTTCCCTGGAAGTACTTACGATATCAAGGTAGCACATGGCATATTGATGTTACATTTTCTGTGTAGAATTTGCAATAGGTTATGTCATTTCAATGGACAGTAATTCTTCGTTGGTCACATTCATGACATCTTTTTTCATTGCTCAATTCAGGATCTTGATCTTAGAAAACCAGGAGTACAAAAGTCATGGAAAAGGCCATCGTTTCAAACAACAACACGAGAAGTCTTGGAGAAAGCTGATTTCAGAGTGAGTGTTAGTTCTGCTTTGTTTTAGTTTGCCTTTTATGTTTTCTAGTCTGGTAGTATCTCGCATGTTTCAATCTCTTATTTTGATTTTATTCCATCTTCAAGCTGTTGTCAGTGTTTTGTCACCTTATGATAAAATTGAGCTTTTATCCTGCTAATAATAAATTATACAGATTGATAAAAATGGTTTTATAACACTGGATAAGTTAGCTTTTATCCTGCTCATAATTAATTATACATATTGATAAATTTGGCTTTATAACACTGGATAAGTTCTCTTTCACTATGAAAGTGCCAAAACTATTAACCCTCTTAATTATGTTCAGAACGTCGGTTTTCTTGCCAATTTCATCACAGATGCTGGAATTATAATCAAGAGGAGCAAGGTAAACAAATGAAAAGTCATTAAGTTTTTAGTCAGATTTATTTATATCGAAGTGAGTGTTATCAATGAGAAGTCCATCATCTGATAACCTCTCAACCCTCTTTGTTGTGTTATTGATTATTATATATATAGACGGGAATAAGTGCCACAGCCCAAAGGAAAGTTGCTAGGGAAATAAAGACTGCACGAGCTTTTGGTCTTCTGCCATTCACCACCATGGGAACCAAACATTTCAAGTTCGGCAAAACGATGGAGAACCTCGATAGTGATTATGCATATGAGACTCACTACCACAACTTTGTTGATACAGATGCCAGTGTGGATCCCCTAGAATGATGAACCCCTTTCGTTTTTCTTTTATATCCTTCATGTTCCCTTTCTTTATGAACTAATTAGCCAGTAAGTTATGAGTTAAATTGTTTTTGCAGAAGAAAGTGTAATGAGTTCATGATTTGTTTGGCTTTACGGTTTTGTGTCTGGAGACGCTATTAAACAGCTAACGTTGTGAGTTCTGGGCCTTCAGAGATGGCAATAAATGTTATATTTTTTGTTCTGTGTAATATTATGTGATTCATACGAGGTAAAATCATGTGGAGATGGAAATATTGCAAGTATTGCTTGGTCTTCAAGTGAAGAAAAATCAGCAACTGCAAAAGTAATAGGTCACTCTAACAAACTGTGTCTGTTTGTGAAGCACATGGGGTTAGGTGAATAGTTGTTATAGTTTGAAACATTCATAACACTTCACATGCTAGGATTGGTTCCGGGCCCGGGCTAACATTTGAGATGTCATGGGGTGATATTCTGCATAACAGTCTAGATTCTGGTTTCTGGAAGTTTGTGGCCACACTGAAACCAGAATGCTTTGGACAATTGGACCAGATCAGAATTGGTAAAGCCTAGCCCAAGCTGACATAACCATGGTATAGTACTGGCGGATTTCAAATTTTGTCATGGACTGACATCAGTGACAAAATTCCGGCGACGAAAACAGCCCGTTGGAATTTTTTTTGGTGTACCAGCGGTAGTTTGTCACGGATTTTGTTTAGGGGTTTCATCCGTGACAAAAATTTTCAGGGATTTTGTCAGTGACAAAAAAAAATCGTGGACCAGGGAAATGTTCTGTGACCTTGACAAAGTTGTCAAGGATTAAAACAGGACCAGAACCGGACCTTACCTGGAAATGTTGGTCCCCGGAGGTAGGAGGGTGGGGGACTGGGAACCAAACTAAAGTTGGGATTGGCCGCCCATGGTTTGGTTCTAGTTTTGGATTGATCAATTGTTAACCCACTAAAGACAATAGGTCGAGTAGAACCGGTAATGGTAAAAATGTTTCACTTGTATTTATTTAAGCTCCACAATAGACCCGACCAGATTTTAGTAGTTGTAAAATACACATAGACCAGACATCTACCTGACTAGTTCAGATCAGTCTACATCAGACTTATACAGACCACACCGAGTATTGAAAACCCCTACTTTAATTTGGTAATGCATAAAATTGCATAACCGGCCGTAGTGCTGGACTCGGGCCGGGCGGCCCGGCCCGGAACCGGCCCGGCCCGGTTACTGTTAGGCCCGGCCCGGCCCGGGGCCCGGTGGGTCCACCGGTTCGGTTCGGCCCGGCCCGGCTGCTGGGCGGTTCGGGCCCGGGCCCAGGTTTTGGTGAACCGGCCCGGCCGGTTCGGGCCCGGTCCGGGCCGGATTTTAATTTTTTTTTTTTTTTTTGAAATTTTTTTAAGTTTTAGGTTGGATTAGGTATTTTGAGCCATTTGAGGTGGTTTGGGATGGTTTGGGGTTGAGGGGGAGGGGTAGGGGATTAAATAGGAGACCAAAAAAAAAAAAAAATTAAGTGGGCCGGTTCGGCCCGGCCCGGCCCGGCCCGGTTTGGCCCGGAACCGGAACCGGAACCGCCCACCGGCGGTTCGGGCCCGGGCCCTAGTTTTCTGGCCCGAGGCCCGGCCGGGCCCAGGCCCGAACCGGGCCCGAACCGGCCCGAGTCCAGCCATAACCGGCCGTTAGGGTATCTATTTTGGATAACCACACCGAGTATTGAAAACCCCTACTTAGGACCACGAGCTCCATTCCTATAACACAAAAATTTGGTATGGCTTCTAAAATGTACTTTGTAATAACAACAATACTAGTAGTAGTAACAACAACAACAACAATAATAATGATAATAATAATAATAAATTTCTAAATAGATTGCTCCTTGCGAATAAAAAAGTTTCTTTAGGTGGTAGGAAAAAAGACAAGTTTTTTAGAATAGAGCTTTTATTTCACAATTGATTCCTTAATTAAGGATTTTGCCAAAAATGGTGACCCACGGTATAACTTTGAGAATTCTTTTAATTCAATAATAATATTCAAGGGCATCTCGGCTAGCATTTCCTTCTCTCATGTCAGGTGTTCTGCATACAAAATTGCCCATGTACCATCATGATTTGATAAATGCTAGTTAAGTTGTTTTTGGCAAAAAAAAAAAAATCAAGGAAAAAACATATTTAAATGTACACTGAATATATGTTTTGAGGACATCAATATGATTAACGGTAGGAGTGAATGTGCTCATGTGCTTTTAATTCTAGGACTGGAATCGCACTGTTAAAAAATGTCTACATTAGGAATTGATCATAATTAGAACAGTTGATCCTATGAACTGGAAAGTGTTTGGTGCTCCCCTCCATCCATCTGGTCCCCAAAAAGCCTGTACACAAGGACTCTTATTTCCCTGGTCATCTGTTTGACTTTTCAAGACCTTGTCTTATCCCATGAGTCTATGACATAGGCTTTGTATGCAATGTTAAGTCATTATTGATCAGAGCTTGACTGAATCTTAGCAACAACACATGTCTGTCTATCTATATAAGAACCAGCTTCACTCCTAGAAGGCTTCACATTTTAAGCCATACATATCAACAAGTCAAGAAAAGAAAGAAGAAAAAAGATGGGGATTTACTTTCATATCTTGTGGTTAATGATAATGAATGTTTGGGCAGTGAAGCCAACTCCAAACACACTAAATGAGACTTGCTTTGATGGCAGTGCCACATTCATGTTGAGCTTCGGTTTGTACCGGGACAGCTGCCCGGAGGCAGAGGCCATCGTGTACTCTTGGGTCGAGAGGGCGGTTTACGACGACCCAAGAATGGCTGCCTCTTTGCTCCGTCTTCATTTCCATGACTGCTTTGTCAATGCATGCCCATCTTTCCTTTTGTTTTAATTTCTTAAACACATTTTGCAACTTCCTTGGTGCTTGTTTGGCCCGGGATTACACAAGGGGATACACATTTTACAAATTCATTTCTATTTGTTAGTTGTAAATTAGAAACGCATGTATTTTTCTAGACCTTTTATTCTCAAAATATATTAAACCCTATGAAGCATGTGGAGTGCATTTTCGGTAAGAAAACTCTACAGAAACTATTTAGAAACTGTACAAACGCTTTCTTTTCAATTAAAATATGGGGTTTTCATTTCAAGTTTCTCCATGTTTCCCACTTTAATTTCCATGCATTATACTGTTTAGAATATTGTTTTGAGTACACTAAACATAATGTGAACATACTTGTTTGGTAAGTGTTATAAGGATGGAATGGTTGAACTTGCTAAGTTAAGGGAAAACATTGGATAAAATCTATTTCAACCAAATAAGCAAGTCAAATGCTACTTAATGAGGGTAATCTAAAAAATATTAGTAAACGGGACGGTCACATACATTATCCAATGAAACTTCCATTGACACATTGTTCTTGATTACGCAGGGGTGTGATGCATCGGTGTTGCTAGACGACACGCCGAACATGGTCGGAGAGAAAACTGCGGGACCGAACTTGAACTCTTTGAGGGGGTTTGAGTTGATAGATTCAATAAAGACTGATCTTGAGTCTGTTTGTCCTCAAACAGTTTCTTGTGCTGATCTTCTTGCAATTTCTGCCCGTGATGCTGTCCTTTTGGTAAAATATATAAAATATATTCTTTTCCATTTTTTTTTTTCATAAATGCGTCATTTGCATTGATTATTAAATGCTGAACCATGAGTATTTGCTGTCATGATGAGTGTGAACAATGTTGGGGTGACACTAATTAAAAATGTTGATCATCAGGCGGGCGGTCCAGCTTGGGAAGTGGAGATGGGAAGGAAAGACAGCATTAGTGCCAGCCAAGCAGGAGCTAACAACAACATTCCTGGACCCAATTCTGATGTTCCAACCTTAGTGTCCAAGTTCCAAAACCTTGGCCTCTCCCTACTAGACATGGTTACTTTATCTGGTAATGACCCACCCACACTTTTCTTATCTTCATATCTTTCAACAGCTTCCAAAAAAAGATCATATACTAAAGTTGAACTTGCCATGTCCTTCTAGTTTAGGTGCCCAGTTATAGATTTCTTGCAATTTTTATCCACTTTTCCATCACTTTTTCTACCCGAGTGCATTCTCATAAAATGAGCCAAGGAACAAAAATGAGAATGATTTGCATTTTATGCACAATAAGGTTATGCTTACATATATTCATCTATGATGGAGCAGGGGCACATACACTAGGGAAGGCGAGGTGTTTCACATTCAACTCCAGGTTCAACACTGGTGGTGGCACACCTGATGTCAATGTTGAGTTTCTTCAGTCACTTCAACAGCTATGCTCAGCGCAAGACGTCAACGCCACATTGGCTGATCTCGATGCCATGACTCCGGCAACGTTTGACAACCAGTACTATGTTAACCTGCTTTCAGGTACAGGCTTGCTGACATCGGACCAGGTGCTGGTCAACAGCGACGATGAAACACGTGGCATAGTTGAGTCATACATAGATGATCAGAATTTGTTCTTTGAGAACTTTAAGAGCTCAATGGTGAAGATGGGAAGGCTGGCACCGGCCCAAGGAGGAGGTGGTGAGATACGTAGGAACTGTAGAGTTGTTAACTATTACTAAGAGTACATTGTTGACTAGAAACTAGTTTGTTGTATGCATGCATGGATGTATCAGTGTGAAGGTCTTATCTAGTGGAATAAACTTATTGCATCAACTGTGGACAAAATTTTGTTTCATACCCCTTTGCCCACCACAATTCAGGTTAAGATTCTGACTTTTCTATAAGGAGAGATCCAGACTTTGCTCTGCAACCGGGCAAGACTGGACAGGTTCAGAGACCAAACCAATTTTCCAGTTTGAAACCGGAGCGAAACACTGAAGCGACCTATATATTCTGATTAGTTGTTGTTATTATTATTATTATTATTATTATTATTATTATTATTATTATTATTATGATCGTCGTCGTCGTCGTCGTCGTCGTCATCGAATAAGAAACCAAAACCGGATAAAAATCGACCGAGACCCACTATGGTTTCGGTTCTCCCTTTTTCATGACAAGAGCCAGCCGTTCAAGTCCACATACGAGTCCAAGACCACGTCTACCTTAACAGCTTAACCCAAACCCAATTAAAAAAATGGTGACATCATCAAAACACTCGATTGATTAAAATTTAAAAAGAGTTCAACATATTTATTAAAAATAGGTCCAAATAGGGGTGGACCCAGTCCAACAGAACGGCCCGGTCCAGAATCAGGTCAGGCACTGTTCTGGAGCAAATCAGGTCGGGAATTCTGGTTTGGGGCCTGGGACCGCCGACCGCCCTTGTCCGCCCAAGAATGGTACCCGGTCAAAAGTTCACCTATTTGGGTACTGAACCAGGCATTTTCAGTCTCAAACCAGCCATTTTTTTTGGGGAAAAGAGGCAAATAAGCCCATGTACTAACCAAAAAAGATCAAATAAACCCTTATTTAGGAGATTTTGTCCGATCGTCGCCATTTGGGGTGGTTTCCGGTGGAATTTTTTGATGAAATTTTTTTAGCATCTTATTCATTCAGTCTAGTTTACGCATAACAAATTTCGGCTAAAAATTCAATCAGTAAGGCATTTAAATGAATTCTTGAAGATAACAGAGCAGTTAAAACCGCAGTTATCTTCAAGAATTCATTTGAATGTCTTCCCAATTGAATTTTTAGCTAAATTTTGGTATGAGTAAACTAGACTCAATGAATAAGATGCTCAAAAAAATTCATCAAAAAATTCCATCGGAAACCACCCCAAATGGCGACGGCCGGACAGAACCTCCTAAATAAGGGCTTATTTGACCTTTTTTTATTAGTACATGGACTTATTTGACTCTTTTCCCTTTTTTTGCCTTGGAAGTTGGAAACGGACGAAAAGCGAAAAAAAAAGTGACTAGGTTTGGACCGAGACCAGACCGCCTAGGTACCCAGAAGTCTAGAACTGACCCATACCCGTATTTAAACGGATCAGACCCGGGCTTCTCCTGCCAATGACTGGAACCAGGACCAAGTCCAGTTATCATCGGCTTGTTCTAATGGAATATGGTGAACTAATTAAACGACATCAAATAGTAAAAGAATGCCAAGCGATTAAGCTTATTGTGATAATTAAGGTTGGCTCTACATTCGGATATGCCATATATGATACTAATAAATGTAAACAAAATTACACTCAAACAGAGACAACACTGCCACAGCCCAAAGGCCTCATTGATCCAGAGCTATCTTATTGGGGTATTCGGTATTCCTACAATGATCTAGCACCCCATGCCATTAACTAATTTAGAAAGAAAAAAAAAGGAAGAAATAGACAACACTGCTTTTGTAACATTACATTTCACATGTCAAATTGACTATCTCAATCTCAAAACTACTTGAACCTCCCAAGTCCTACCCACTAAGCGCAGGCCATGCTTGAGCATTGTGCCAGAGGTCTATTGGGCATGGTTTGTCAATCCGGCAGCATTGGATTCATGTTCCTGAAGATGAAAAAGATGCTTCAATAGAATAGAATAGAACAGGGGCAAGTAAAATCTATAGAATGCAAAATCTATAAATGTGTTCCGCCATACAGCTTGGCTGGCCATTGAATCTTGACTAAAAATATGAGGCTCTTTATTTTGTATTAAAAATCTAAGTGCTTACTCTTCGGCATCCATTCTTGACCAGCATGATGCCCCTGCAAATCAGCGAGAAACGTCATAAGCTTAGGATCCATTTGGAACCCCGAAAAAAGCTTTAAAAAATGAGAAAAACTAGAGGAGAAATTTGGGAGTGTAACAGTGTTGGCTATGTAAAAACTTTATAAAGGGTCAAGCTCAACAAAACAATTTCATATATTTTTTCACTCCTTTGATCCATATATTACTATCATTTAAAGACCACAGAATCAAATATATGTCAAATTTTAAATAGTTTTGAGATTTGATATCTTTCATTTTTTCTGCTGCAAAATCCCAAGTTACTAAAAAAATCTTAGCATTTTAAACTTTCCTTGAGATTTCCACATTCCAGACATCTAAATGATACTCCCTCTGTCCCAATTCGATTTGCAAATTTTCATACCTTGATTGTCCCAAAATGATTTATACTTTCTAGTTTAGGTATGAAAATAAGAAAACAGTGACAAACTTACCTTACTTTTACCCCTTTTTCATTTACTTAAATATCTTTACTTTATAGGGGAAAGGGAAAACATCATACTCCGTATCTAACATAGATGAAACATAAAACACACCAACCTGTTGGTTACGCGACGGATCAATTACTGAACCCCCAGCTACATGTTGTGAAAAAGAATGTTCCTGCAATTCCCAAATTCCAACGTCATTAAGAATTTAAGATCAACGAGAGTCAAACTGTGGAAACCCTAGTAGTATTGGGCTTAGCCCATTTTGTATATCTTGTATAGGAAACCCTAGCACTCTAAATATAGCTATAAATATAGCTTCTTGTATAGGATTTCATAGGAAGTATAATGAATACAATCTTATATTTCACATGGTATCAGAGCCTATACGGCAAATATAGTTAGCTAGTTAGCCTTATAAACTGCCGCTCCGAATCCGGACAGAAGTTCAGGCCATAATTTCCGGCGTGAATAGTGGTCGCAACTCACTTGAGTGCTTTTGGTAGTGATACAAGCCTACCATCGTGCTCAACTCTACATAGCGACTTACCGCCGGAAGTTTCACTGCCGCTGCCTCACCCACGCGCCGCCGTCGGTCGCTGAAAGTCCGCACCTGCAGGTACACATCTTTGCAGATCTGCTCCGTCTTAGTCATCTGCGAGCGACACCGACGGGTTTTTTCAGATACCTAGGTCCCTGACGACCTAGACCAGTCAGTCCGGTCCGCCGCCGCTTCCACGCGCGCCGCCGCCGCCGACCGCGCCGCCGCCGTTGACCGCCGTCTCCCTGTGTCGTACGCTCGCCGCAGCCGCCCTGCGCCGTCGTCCGCACCTCCCAAAGAAGATAGAGGTCTGTTTTCTTCATCCTTGTGTAGCTACAGTGCTTCAACCTGCTGCCTTCAACCTGCTGCCTGGGAAACCTTACGGCTGCTTCACTTCAATTTAATTGCAGTTGCACTACTTTAAATATTTTATTTTTTGCTTCTCTTTAAAAAAAAACAAAAAAAAAACAAAAAAAAAGACAAAAAAAAAAAGAAAAAAAAAAGAAAAAAAAATGTCTTTTATGAATTCTGACGGAGGAAACAACACCGGATTCTCAAGACGGAACCGTCCTAAATGTGATTTTTGTCATAAAATTGGTCATACTAAAGACAGGTGTTGGAAATTACATGGGAGACCTCCTACCCCAGTCACCGTTGCTCAGATCCCACCATCTCCCATTGTTCTGTCTCCAGAAGAATATGCAGCATATCAGCAATTTAAGTTGACTAATATGCCATTATCTACAACGGGGATGTCTACCGCTTGCGTTTCAAACACAGCAGGCTCATGGATAATTGACTCTGGTGCCTCAGACCATATTTCTGGTAATCCCAATCTTTTATCCCATATTACCAAGCACCGACATCTTCCTATGATTACTCTTGCTAATGGCCTTCAAACTTCGGCTTCGGGTATTGGGCAAGCGCTTCCACTTTCATCCTTACCATTAGACTCAGTCTTATATGTCCCAAACACCCCTTTTAACCTTGTCTCTGTCAGTAAAATTACACGTGCTCTTAATTGTTCCGTAACATTTTCTGCTGATTCTGTGATTGTGCAGGACCGTTGTACAGGGAAAATTGGCGTCGGCCATGAATCTCAAGGTCTATATCACCTCCATCTTCTTGATCCAATCACTTGTGTTTCAGTTGAACCTGCTATTACCTTACATAATCGGCTGGGTCATCCTAGTCTCTCAAAGTTTCAACGTATGGTTCCAGGTTTCTCCAATCTTTAGATTGTGAGTCATGTCACCTTGGAAAACAACCTCGTAAATCCTTTCCAAGGCGAGTCAATAACAGGGCTACATCACCGTTTGATTTAGTTCATACAGATGTATGGGGTCCGTATCGAGTCACTTCTACTTTAGGTTTCCGTTATTTTGTTATTTTTGTGGATGATTTTTCCCGTTACACATGGTTGTTTTTAATGAAAGAGCGTTTTGAATTGTTTCATATTTTTCAAACTTTTTGTGCTGAAATTCAAACTCAGTTTGGTCATTCTATCAAAATTTTACGCAGTGACAATGCTACAGAATTTTTTGGGGCATCCTTTAATCAATTCATGACATCACGGGGTATGCTTCACCAATCTTCTTGTGTTCACACGCCTCAACAAAATGGGGTTGCTGAACGCAAGAACCGGCACTTGGTTGATACTGCTCGTACCCTATTATTACATTCCCATACACCACCTCAGTATTGGGCAGATGCCGTGCTCACTGCGTGTCATTTAATAAATAGAATGCCTTCCTCAGTTCTTAATAATGAAATTCCTTATTCTCTTTTGTTTCCTGCTCGTGATTTATTTCCATTACCACCTCATGTGTTTGGGTGCGTGTGTTTTGTCCATGATACGACACCAGGATTAGCTAAAATGGCGGCTAGGTCAATAAAATGTATCTTTCTTGGATATTCGCGACTCCAAAAGGGGTATCGTTGTTATTCTCCATTACTTAAGAAACATTTTATTTCAGCCGATGTCACTTTCATTGAGTCGTCCTTTTATTATCCATTATCTTCAGTTAATACCCCATCATGTTTGGACTTCACCTCATATCTTCGGCCCATCCATCAGGAGCCTCCCATTAACCCCCCATCTGATGAGCACCCAAACTGCCCTCCTATGTCAGATCGGCCATTACAGGTATACCATCGACGTCCTCGACCTCCTCCCATTGAGCCCATCGTGGCCACGCCTGTTGATTCCCCTATGACGGATCCTGCATCACCACCATCACCTACTCCAGCACTTGACACCACTCAGGATAATTTGCCAATTGCTCTCCGAAAAGGTACGCGTTCCACATTGAATCCACATCCCATATATAACTTTTTGAGTTATCACCGCCTCTCTACGCCTTACTATGCCTTTATTTCCCACCTATCTCATATATGCATTCCTAAAACCACACATGAGGCACTGGCACACCCGGAGTGGCGTAAAGCCATGTTGGCTGAGATGGAGGCTCTCCATATTAGTGGGACATGGGACTTAGTCCCCCTTCCCACTGGCAAATCAGTGGTGGGATGTCGGTGGATTTACACGGTTAAAGTTGGGCCTGATGGGGAGATTGATCGTTTTAAAGCACGCCTTGTGGCGAAAGGGTATACTCAGATATATGGCTTGGATTACACTGACACTTTTTCTCCTGTAGCGAAGATTGCATCAGTTCGTTTGGTTTTATCCATGGCAGCAATGAGCCGCTGGCCATTGTTCCAATTGGATATTAAAAACGCATTCCTTCACGGAGATCTGCACGAGGAAGTTTATATGGAGCAACCACCTGGATTTGTTGCTCAGGGGGAGTCTGGTATGGTGTGCAGATTACGTCGTTCATTATATGGCTTGAAGCAATCTCCACGTGCATGGTTTGGGAGGTTCAGTGCCGTTGTTTGCAGCTTTGGCATGATTCGCAGTGATGTTGATCATTCTATATTCTACAGACATTCTGCTGGCAACAAATGTATTTATCTTGTTGTGTATGTTGATGACATTGTCATTACAGGTAGTGATGATCAAGGAATTGCGCTCCTCAAGCAACATCTGTTTAGCAAATTTCAAACAAAAGACTTGGGAAAGTTGAGATACTTCCTTGGCATTGAGGTTGCACAGTCTCAAGATGGAATTGCTCTCTCACAAAGAAAGTATGCCTTGGATATTCTTGAGGAAACAGGTTTGCTAGATTGCAGGCCAGTGGATACACCAATGGATCCGAACGTTAAACTCTTATCAGAACAGGGAGATCTTTTGCCCAACAAGGAAAAATATAGAAGACTCATCGGAAAATTGAATTATCTTACCATCACGAGACCAGATATTTCATTTGCGGTAAGTGTTCTTAGCCAGTTTCTTGATAAGCCATGTACTGGACATTGGGATGCAGCTATTCGAGTTTTGAGATACATCAAGAAAACTCCAGGGCAAGGATTGTTGTTTGAAGATCGAGGCCACCGTGATATTGTGGGATACTGTGATGCAGACTGGGCCGGATGTCCGATGGATAGACGTTCCACTTCGGGATATTGCATCTTGATTGGTGGAAACTTAATTTCATGGAAAAGTAAGAAACAGGATGTGGTTGCCAGATCTAGTGCTGAAGCAGAATATCGTGCAATGGCCCTTGCTACCTGTGAAATCTTATGGTTGAACCATCTCCTCCAAGAGTTAAAATATGGAAACACAAAACCGGCTCAACTCATGTGTGATAATCAAGCCGCAATGCACATCGCATCAAATCCGGTATATCATGAGAGGACAAAACATATTGAAGTTGATTGTCATTTTATCCGAGAGAAGATCACCAGTGGACATATCATCACAAAATATGTGAACACAACTGAACAACTTGCAGATATTTTAACTAAGTCTCTTAGAGGTCCTAGAGTGGAATATATTTGTAACAAGCTTGGTACATATGATTTATATGCTCCAGCTTGAGGGGGAGTGTGGAAACCCTAGTAGTATTGGGCTTAGCCCATTTTGTATATCTTGTATAGGAAACCCTAGCACTCTAAATATAGCTATAAATATAGCTTCTTGTATAGGATTTCATAGGAAGTATAATGAATACAATCTTATATTTCACACAAACAATACCTACCTTTCAGGAATCACAATCACAAACAGACATCTATAATCTTTGAAATCTTATCCTAACCAAAAAGGCAAAAAACAGTGATTTAAGAGTCCCTGCATTCCTATTTAAGAGTTTACTTTATAGGTTCTGTTTATCCTTATTATTTTCCATCTCCGAAACCCATGGAGCATCAATTACAACTTTCCTAGTTTACCCTTTAAAATTAAATATGAAACACATAGAAAACATGTAATAAATGTAGTGAGTTCATACATGACACAGTAAACTGGGCAGCAAGATATAAGTTGTGATTGATTTAAAAACTCTTGATAAGAGGTAACTTTTCACTATGGGTCATCCGGAAACAATCTCTCTATGCTTTAATATAGGGGTAAGACTGCGTACATCCGACCCCCCTACCCCACCGTAGGTGGGAGCCTTTGCGGCACTTTGGGGTAATGATGATGATGATAAGTGGTAACTTTCTTAACAGGCGTGTCAGGACAAAGTGGACAGAGAAATAGGAACAGAGGGAGTATTTTATTGTATAGCCCATTATAACGTAACTTTATGCACATGCATATATGATATATCCAGAAAACACTAAAATTATTGTGATACCTGATTACTTCGTTGAACAGTCATTCCCGGATTTCCCTGAACCTGATGATACTGACAGCAAATAGAAAATAACAACAAACTATAGATTGAATTGAAAAAACAAGATAATTTTAATTTTAAAAATTGTCACATGAAACAGAATCTAACCGATGAAACTTGTGATGTTTGTTGTTGCATATGTTGTGGGGGGCGGAATTGGATCTGAATTGGACTTTGATACTGCCCTTGCATTTGAAAACCTTGCTGTGAAGATATGCCTTGTTGAGGATAAGGATGCATTTGAGGTTGCTGGATGGTTGGAGAAGGCTTTGTTTGTTCTTGTTGTTTTTGTTGTTGTTGCTCAAACAAAGTCAGCTCATCTGGCTTTTCCCACTAAACATTTAATAAAAATATACTCAGATAATAAAAAGAGCAACAATATATTTGGAGGCCAGCTCTGACTTATTCTACTTACAAAAATAAAAGCAAAACAAGTAGAATAAGCAGCTTTTACTTATTTGGCTGAAATGGATGATACCAAAAGCTTTCCGTAAAAAATATAGCAAATTCAACCATTTCAGACAAGCAACTCTTCCCAAATGGGACCCCCTAAAGCATCATAACTAGAAGATTATTTATGATTGGATGTTTACTTTGCTTTCACCAGTGACACTGTTGTGGTAGTATTTGTATCCATCAGGTGCAGTGTGTTCTGTCCAGTCACACTTTAAAGCAGCCATGGCCTGGTTAGGAGGAGGCTGAAAGGAAGTGACTGAAGGTGATTGCTGCATTGTGGGCCCGGTCCAAGAAGACTGCTGCTGCTGAGGGGCAGCTGTTGGAGTTGTTAAGTTTTGGTTAGGCGGTGGTTGCATCATCTGCCTTTGTTGGTGTTGAAGCTGAGAGAAGGCCTGTTGTGATGAATGGAAGCTTGCCTGTAATGTTTGTGTTTGTTGTGACATCATCTGGGCTAACTGAGATGGTGATGATTGGTGAAGATGTTGAAAGGTCTGTTGAGTTGGCCGTTGTTGGTTGTTTGCAAGGCCAGATGTCACATTCTGAGATGTCACATTTTGCTGACTAACCGGTGTTTGACTGGTGGACAGGGGCATTATTGGTACTTGAGGCTGCCTGAAAAAATCCATTGAGAACTGTGTTTGAGAGATGGGTGTTGAATCCAAGGTACCATGAGATGAAACATTACTTTCATGATTGATGTCTCAAATACCCCAAGGGTCCATTCATAATCCAGAAAATACTTGGGAAATGAAATAAAAAGATTTTTTTTTAGTTTTTTTTTAAGAATTAAACATTTCGTTTTTAAGCCAAACCTAAGCAATACACAATGACTTCATAAAACATATTTTTCGTTTCCCAAGCATTTTCCAGTCCAAACATACTCTTAAAAGTCCAAAATAAAGCCTAAGCCTGAATAAGAATGTGGTATCACCATACCCGTATCCATGTATCCGCGGATCCGTGTAGCCATAGCCCTGCAACATAGCTGGATTTTGTGGTTGCAGTGAAGATGGCAAGTTTTGAGGTGACGGAAGAGGCTTCTGAGATGGAGAATTTTGCTGGCCAACTGAAATGTTTTGCACCAAAGGCTGGTTTGAACCCTAAATAAAATTCAAAGATGAATTTATTTGTAGTACTATATTATATAAAGAAATAGATCTATGGAATGGAAATGGAGACTGGCGACACAAGTTTAAGAAGTCTTGGTTACCTTTTCTGATATAGAGGAGGAAGATGAAGATGCGGTAAGCCCTGGATATGATTTATCCCCACTGCCGCTATGGCCACCCTAAGCAATTTTGTCAAAGCAACATGATGCTTACTGCCGATAGGATATTTGGTTCTAGGTAATAACATGGTTATGAACTCTACTTAAGATCATTATTTACTTTATACCTGTTGTGGTATAGATGCAGAAGAAACTGGACGCACAGGAAATGAATTGTCGCTGCTGGCACCCTAAATTGAAAAAAACATGATAATTACATCATTGACAAGTATTAATAGTTAATTAGTATCCCCACCAGATACCTACAAAAAAGTACTGCCACTATCCAAAAAGTGACATTGACCAATATAGAACTTTTAAATTTGGCAAGGTAAAGGCTGCAAGAAATCATTAATCATGCTTACAGTGTTGAAATCAATTTGTTGGTTTAACTAAATATATCAATCATAGCTCATGACATTGGTGAATTACTGAAAAATTAGTGTCTTATGATCAAACCTGACTCTTTTTTAGCAGGGTGAACTTTTCCATTTTTTTCGAAAATGGAAACATGCACTTTTTGGGGAGGGCAGAAGTAGTCTATTAGCTTCTTGAAAGAAAGATAAAGGAGCATAAACAAAAAAATACTTTAAAGTTATCACCAAACATTACTTTATCTTTCCTTACCAGCGAGGAAGGCACTTGTATACCATTTGGTCTTGGGGAAAATTGATTTCCAATACCATGAATGCTAGGAGCATTAGTTGTTGGCCCTGGACTTATGGCACCCATAGGGCGCCACGAGTTAGGAGCATTCTGTCCATACACAGGCTCTGAAAGAGTCGGATGTGGTCTATGAGAAGATAAAAGTCAAAGCAAGTGTTAACACGGCAACAGTAAAAAGGAATGCAAGTACTACCTCTGTCCCATTTTATGTGTCATACTTTGGTTTGACAATTATTAATAAAGTGATTGAAAATGTAAAAGTTGTGGTTGAGATTTGAGTATAATAAAGTGAAATGTTGTAGATCACATATTTCTTTCCAAAAAAGGAAATGTGACACTTATTTTGGGACAACCGAAAAAGGAAAGTAGGACATGTAAAATGGGAAGGAGGGAGTAGTAAGATTGGTTGAAAAAAATACCCAATTCCAGGCGCTTGAAAGCGAGGCACGGGACCAGGCCCCGCAAATGATGGATCCCTGTAAATGAAAGAAAATTATATGTTGAAGTAAACTATGCACAGACAATGGAACTATGGAAGCATAAGGAGCAAGTTAAGGAAAAATACACCAGACAAAACTATTCTAAGAATCAGAAAACTCTTTAATTCCTGTGGATGTGCAAGAGAGAAGCTGCTGCCCAACATTTATTTAATACTCCTTCCATGCATATTAAGGAGCCTTCTACTAGAAATTATGTTTAGCATTATTTTTTGCTTTTCAAGGTACAAAATCATTTAATGTAGGAAGAGTTAATACGGGAAATTTGGAAGATGAGTGAAAAGGGTGCAATAAATTCCTAAAATGAAAGTTTTTTGGAGTAATTTTTTTAATAAAACGGCTAAGTAATTTGGGATGGAGAGAGTATTCTTTTTATGCAGGTTTGTTGATGCTCATATTAATTGGCCATAAAGAGCATAAGCCAATCCAACATAAAGCTAAAAAGAAAAACCAACCTTGATTCCCCAGATCTGGGCTTCTTAGGGTCAGCAAATCGAACAGTCAAAGGCTGATCACATCCCTGGCAGGCAAAAGGAGATCATTAATTTATTCAAGAGCAAATACAAGATTAAAACAAACAAGCCTCAGACAGTTATGGCAGCAGAGGGTAGTGAGAACTGATGCTAACTTACTTGCATTGTGAACTTTCCACTAAGACCATTAATTGCTGCCAATGCAACTTCCCGATTTGAGTATTTGACAAATCCACAACCTTCCATAGAAGTGCAAAAACAGGGGTTATTAAGGTAAATAACAATACTACTTCTACTGCAGAGTAAAATATAACTAAAATAAATAGAGAAAGTTTGAAAGCTCAAAGTGAACAGACAAAGACAAAATTTTAGCATCACATGATCGTCTACAACAACAACAACCAACACTTAGTCCCAAAAGATTTTGGTGTCGGCTAACATGAATCGATACATGATAACAGAGCCAAAAGAAAAGAAAGATAAATAATAAAAAGATAAGGTAAGGTAAAAAGATAAGGAAAGATTAAAAAAAGGATAAGATAAAGATAAGATACAGATAAAAATGATAAGATAAGGATGATACAAAGAAAATATATAAAATAAAAAGGATAAAGAACATAAGAAAGATAAAGAAGATAATAGATAAAAGAGAAAGAAAAGGGAGAAAAGAGATTAATCATCTACGCGAATATTCGCCACCCTCCACTTTGCTCTCTCCAAAGCCATACTCTCATCCAACCCAAGAAGAAGCATATCACTCCCGATTCGTCTAATCCATGTTTGTATGGGTCTTCCTCTCCCTCTCCTCCCCGTCTCTTCTCCCCACCTCTCAACGCATCTACTCTGTATAAATAATATCAATCCCTCTTTCTTTCATTGTAGAGCTACCATTTTGAATGTATTGCAAGTATATCTAGACTAGGTAGGAAAAATTACTACATACAACCAACTGAAATGACTGCTCAGCTATTTAGAAATATAATGATGATCACCTGACAAGTAACTGATTTTCACCCTACACTTATTATGTGTCAACAACAAAATCTTTTGTGGATCATCATATCTTTAACAGAAAGTGGAGACCACACAATTATTAAGATGGAACACTATTTTACAGTTTTTACCAAGCCACAAGAGATCTTGTTTACATCACGGTCAAGATTGCAGGGAACATGAAGTTTATGATTAAGAATGTGATGAGATAAGTGAGATGACATACCCCGACTCTGCTTCATCTCATCACGCATGAGGTAGACATCTTCAACACGACCATAAGAAGAAAAAATCTACATGAAAGAAATACCGACAAGCATTGGTATATGGAAACACGTAGACATCTTCAACACGACCATAAGAAGAAAAATCTACATGAAGGAAATACTGACAAGCAATGGTATATGGAAAAAATCTACATCTTTTTCCTTCTTTTTAAAAAATTACTAAAAGGACCAATTTTGAGACAACACATTTTCACTTTCTAGATATTAAAATTCCCAAGCATTTGGTCATAATTGAACTTAAATTTACTACTAAAAGCATTACACGAAAACATTTTACTCCCTTTTTGTGATATTTTCTCATTTAAAAGCTTTTGGATATAGAGGGAAAGATAGAAAAAGTATGGGGAACATGTTTAGCTTGTCTTTGTTTTACACCTAATGAAAAATAAAAGAATCTAAAATGAAACATTTGCCTCAATAAAAAGGTCCATTTAGCTTGTCGCACAAAGCATACCTCTTCGACATCCTTCACTGAAGCTTGTTTATTCAGTGACCCAACAAACAACTTGTATTCAACTGTACCTGAAAAGACCCATAAAAAGACAAAGAGCTCATATGTAAATAGTCAGTACTAACCTGTTAGTCCAGACAAAAGACAAACATTGAAACAAACTTGCTAGAGTTCAATATGCTAAAATAATAAAAAAAGAAAACACAAAACAAATTTCACATTACCAAGTCGTTCTCGCTCACCATCGGCATATCTGACTTGAATAGGGGCTGTCCCCCCTGGTAAAGTATAATTGTTATGCAAGGCTCTAATGGCTCTATCAGCATCTTCTGAAGTGGCATATTTAATGAAGCAACACCCTGCAGAAGTCAGAAAACTGTGCTCTCATATCACCCCAAGTGATCTTCACTAGAACTTCACAAGCCACAACATAGATGCTTATGAATACTTGAAATTCTATTATTTAGTTAAAGAGAATAGAAAATGAAGAAATTAAAGAAAGCAACAAATATACTTTCAATGTTCATGGAAAGCATATCTGCATACTCAGCAGTAACAATCCAGAATCTAAGCCCCTTGAATCTATAACTTACAGCTATACTCATGATCTATTACCCAAACATGTGGTCATGTCCACACATGCATTGAAGTTTATCAGCTATTCCTAGTACTGGGAAAAATTAGGCTGGATTGGAAAGCTGAACAATGTTCAACAGATAGAAACTACGCATGTGAACACTAAATGCAATACCAAGATTTAAAAGAAGGTTCAATAGCTCACTGCTAACAAGAGACATTCAGAGGCCAATGTGGGGAAAATACACCACACAATACAACAGTCACAAATCACCACCAACATGCCAGCCCAAACAAATAATATGGCAGAAGCTAGATGTTTCTTCAATCATTAACACTCACCAACAACATAAAACTTGAGACCAAACATACTCATAAGATGGGGAAGAACATGAAAATCCTATAACTGAGGAAATTGTATAACTTTGAAGGAAAAGGGATGTGTAATCGAGTATCAGCTCAAACGAAAAGGGGCATGGAATCGAACATTGTGATTCATCATTGTAATGCATGACAACGCAAGTTATCGAAAAGGAACAATGGCACGAGAGTATCAAATCCTTCAGCAATGAAGAACCATCAGAACAAACAAAATGAAAGGAAAGAAAGATTCGAACTTCATCATTAGATATGTAGGAGTCTGAAACATAAAACTGAAGGACGCCATTCATTCACAAGGAAGAAAATTATAAACCTCCATCATCAGCATTTATCAGAAGAGATACTAAAGAGCCTTGTACTATCAATAAAACTACTAGAACATATACAAACAAATAATTTAATTGTGGGGAAGCAGCAGAAAAAAGTTGTTGCCTCTTGATCGAAGAGAGTTAGAGACCTAAATACACAACCCTGTGTCTCCATCACTAAAAAACAGTTGCTGTTAAACACAAAAGACCACAGCAGACATTTTATGGAGTGAGTAGCACATCATCTTGGTAGTTGCAATCAAACAAAGCTGGAGTGACCGCAGAAGCACTTGGTCTAGCTTGCTTTCTATAATATAACAGCGTTTTCCAGTCCTTCACAGCTGTTTCATGTTGCAGATGATTCCACTTGAACTAGATTTATTTTCATACAATTATAACATTTCAACAGGTTCCATGTATGTATGTTAGATTAGACCACAAATAGCTAAACACAATGTCCAATCCTCTCTACTCAAGCTCTTTTACATTTGCTCTGCAGAAATGGAGCCATAGGCATTGACTAATGAATGGAGGGAAGAGCATAACATTCATACAGAACATAGCAGCTCACTGATTAAAGCCAAATATGTATCTAGTTGTCAACATCAGCACAAAAAGATGCACTACTGGCTGCACAATGATGACAAAGACATTTGATTTGCAAAAGCAAAAGAAAAAATGTTCTAAACACTGAATTCTATCAAAGAGCCCTTTTTACTGGGCGAGACGTATACATCACATCCAAAACGAAAACACTCCAATTGATAAATAAGAATGAAGAAAACCACAAATCAGTGGTTAATTTCACTTAAGTGAAATAAGACACGCCCCATAATCTAAAGCATTGGTAACTCCAGAAGCAATGCCCTCACACTAATAACACCTCAACATAAATAAATACTAAATAGACATTCATTATGCAAATCTAGATCAACCATGGAATTTAAATCTCTCAAAAGCACTTGCACTAGAAATTGCATTGAATCGTGGAGTACTCTACCCATCAATCACTTGGTAGGATATACCATATCTATCAGAACATCAACGTTGAACAGAAGATAAAAGCTCAAATTAAACATAACATGAATACATTGGCGGTGATTGCACCAAACAATTACCCATGCCAAAACCAATGGATTTAAATGCAGGTGTAGAATCACAATATTAGGAACTGCCATCACAAAATGGAATAAAGAAGCAAACGTGACAAGCTGACAATTAATAACAAGCAGTAAATATTCATTCACTGGGACACCATAAATTCACAATCACCAAATGGCTGTGAGATAGGATTAGGTGTGTCAGGAAGCCAAACACAACATATAAATAAACAAGTAAAACTGAAAGAGCTTGCAACTATATCTGAATCTACATTTCATTCAATGAAGAACAGTACAACTCTTCAAGCCCTTTAATTAAATGTGGGAAATTCATACACATGGCTGTAAATCTGTAATGAATCAGTAAATACTCCCAGACTATTACAGTAAGATACTAAGCACAAAGAAGAGATAAGTATGATTTTGACTACTTAAATAATCAATAATGTCGTCAAGATAGAATCAACTGACACAAGAAAATCCCAATTCCATCAGACGGATTCCACAGAACATAACACAATCACTAATTGAAATGTAGTAATTTCCATCAGACGGATTCTACAAAACAGAACACGATCACTAATTGAAAGTTTGAAACGTAGTAATACCCATCTGAATGTACAACGCAGTGTCCATACACACCCATTACATGTTGAAGCTCAAGCATTAAAAAAGTTTGTGGGTGATGAATGTGTGGAGAAGAAAACATGGGATAATACAAACACAAAAATAAGCAACTACCACACAAATAAGAAAATTGAAAAAGCCATACATATATAGATAGAGGGTTGTTTGAGTCATTAAGGTAAGGTTCATACGTAATATTTACCAAACATCTATCATATAACGGGCTGAACAACAATGGCCTCCAGTTTTAACACATACAGGGGAAACAGTTATATAACCCTAATACATTGCATTTGCCCCTACTGAATCTTGTACCGAACTACAACACACACATGATCATTGATCACTGATTTTACAGTTGTCTACTGCCTAAAAAGATAGATTTTATGTTTATACTGCTTGCCCTCTTGACTGTGTTGAGATGAGCAGCCAATTGGGAAATTAACCAACACGAAATAAAAGCTTAGAGTGGCTCCTCTCGGCCCCTTGAAGGACCTGAAAATATATATTTACACAGATTTCAATGGAATTGAAAAAAATGTATTGTGCATACCTTGTGGTTGTCCCGTTCTCTTGTCTTTAATCAAAGCAACCTCAAGCACACACCCATGTTGTTCAAACACAGGTCGGATCTGACAACAAAAACAACAAAAAAGTAGTCTCAACTTTATTTCGACTTATCAGTAATCCAAAAAGATGATCTGTGAGCATAGTTCTGAATGAGAATGCCTTACTATGAGAGCTCAAATATAAAACTTCATAAGGTAAATATTGGACCTCGATATTATACCAAGTATGCTAACTGCATTTGTTTAAACTTTTCTTGAAGCGAAGTGATTGTTATTATTCAACAAATCAGCTATTGATGTTATGGAACTTGAACTTTAAATATATTGAGGGTGTGGGGATTAATTTGACCATACTTGATGGGGTTATTAGTTGACAATTTAAACAAGGGGTAAATGATTGGAAGAGGTTCAAATAGACCATTCTACTATTTCAAATCCATCACTTAAGCACCTATACCAAAAAGTATCATATAAGCACTGAAAAACTATTAATCTGCTGCCATTTCACCAGTTTTTACATGTCATAGCAGGTCATTTTAAAAACATAAGAAAATCGGTAAAATTTAAAACAAAAACTGGGAAACTAAAAATGTCAAAATCTAAATTTTTGTGGTTTTTGGAATTATACCTATCCTACATTTTAAAAATATTTATAATTCTACATTTTATGCATTTTATTCCCGTTATTTTTTATCTTAATGTTTTATAAGTCTTCCTCTAATTTTGACCTTTTTACTACTTCAAATATTTCTATATTTTGTAAAAGTTAAATGACTTTTACACAAAAAAAAAACAATCTGATGAACTTTATTTTCAAAAAACTATTTACCATAGCAGGTCAAGAACTAGTAAAATGGAGGGATTGATTGTTTTATCAAAGTTAGTGTGCTCTATGGTACAGAGTACTTATATAGTATAGGGGCTTAAGAAAGGAGCGGGTTTAGATGGCATATTGATCGAGGCCGTAGAAGTTTGGGAGAGAGAGGCATCAAGTGGTTAACACCACTCTTGAACAAGATCGGAAGAAAAATAAAATGTCAGAGAGTTGGCGGAAGCAAGGTTCAAAATTGCGTATTGCTTAGTCGTGGCATTTTTTTAGGATTGCATATTGCGTAAGCCTCATTGCGCAATGAGGCGTATGTCTGAGGCGTAAAAATTTATGTGTGTATATATGCATAAATATAAACAGAATAAAAAGATGAAGAAAATTAATATTCACATAATTAATACTACGTATTCTCTATTCACATAAAATTAAAAGAAAATAAGATCATACGTGGAGTAAGCTAAAATAAAATCTTTGATGCATTAAAAACGTTCAAAGATATCATTAGTCAAGATTATTTAGAGCCATTAGAGGGAATATACTTCGTATATAATTCAGGTGATACTATACCTTTAGTAAATACTAAAAACTAAAGAAAAAAAACTAAAGAAACCTTAGTTGCATTGAGATGCCTGAAAGGCTGAAACCACTTTAGTTGCCTCGAGAAGACTAGATAGGAAGACAGGAAGTTCTGTGTTCCTGAGAGCCTGAATCGCTGCCAGGCCTTTCACGATAGATGAATAAGGCGGAAGAAAGTAAGTAACTAATTTGCTGCCGGCATAATGTGTACGCCTCGATAGGTTTATTAGTAAAAATTAAGTCTAGTGGGCCCAAAAAAACACTTTACAGCTGACCACATATATCGTACGCCTCATACCGCCTTAAGGCGTGGATAGAATTGTGTACGCCTCTGCGCAATAACTCGTGCGCCATAACAACTTCCGCCATAAGCAATGCAATCTTACGCCATACTCCAGGAAATTGGTGAGGCGCGCCTCGAGGCGGTATTGCATTGCGCAATTACAAACCATGGGCGGAAGAGTACTCTTATCCCTTTATTTAAGAATCAGAGTGAAGTACAAGAATGAGCCAACTATATTATTCTTATGAGTCACACCATGAAATTTTGGAAGCGAGTGGTTGAGCAAAGACTCTGTAGAAATGTGAAAATTTCATAGAATAAATTCAATTTTATGCCTAATCACTCAACAACTTAGGTCATTCACCTTCTTAGCCAACCATGCTTGTCACGGCGTCGCCTAGTCACCGACTAGGCGTTCTGGCTCTAGGGACTGCTCGCCGGCTTCACTCGCCTTGCCAGAAGAAAGGAAGTCGTGAATGGCTTCATCCAGGCGTCATCTAGGCACTATGTTGGCGACGAAGTCCTCAGCTTGTTTGCAAGTTGAACTGAAGTTGCGCAGCCAGGCCCAGAAGTCCAGAACCCAAATAGATTTAGGCTTTATTTTTTTAGGAAGCTAATTTAATTAAAGCTTCAGGCTTTTAATTAAAATCTAAGCCCGGAGTAATCGTTGCTCAAAGTCATATATCCAAGCCAAATGGACACATTGGGATCTGACTTACTCAGTTAGTCGTTATGCAAACCTTGTAAGGTCTATGATTAGGCTATATAGTATCCAACTTACACTAAAAGTCAGTCTTGTCTTACCATTAAAAATATTACTCCTTTTGACTCTAAAAAAAGCCCAATTCAGGGACTCAAAATAATGGAAAGTGTGAAGATTATTGAGGGACAAAAGCAGTAACTTTTCTAAAGCTGGCATTGTCTCTTCAATCTTTCACAAATACTTACAGAAAGACGAATAAATTAATCCTGATCAGTGTTAAACTACAGATTGGGTCAAAAAGTTTATTTCATTTGAAGATTTGAACTCTGGAAACTTTTTTGGCAGGAGGATATTACCAGAATAGTATTGATAGTATATGCATACTCTTAGTACCTAGCATCTTGTTCTATCCAAACTAGAACTTAGTTGGGAACATAATTCATTGAAACATGTAATAAAGCATTCGAAGCAATATTACCCCACCATAGGTGGGAGCCTTTGCGGCACTGGGGTGATGATGATGATGTAATAAAGCATTTGAAGTCATAATATTCCTACATGCCTAGTTTGCAATATCATTATCAAAATAGTGTTTGAAATCCAGATATGAGAAAACTCACATCATCCTCTGTTACTGTTCTTGGGACGGATCCAACAAAAAGTTTCGCAAAGCTACCTCCATCAAAGTGTTCTGAAAACAATTGCATGCAAGTGCATACACATGGAGTTAAAAATGCAAAAACCTAACAGTGTCAGTAGGACATAATATCAATTCATAGACCAACAATATCACACATTCATAGGCTTTTCTGTGTTGGGAGGCACATCTCCCACAAAGCTGTATGTGATCAAACTTCAAATGCATAAAATATGTCAAACAAAGTAATCATTTTGCTCCACTCTTCGTCATACCTAGCTGCTAAGTTCAACACCCATCATGCACTACAACACAGCTGTCAGTTAGTTCTGATTAAAATATTACATGTGATGTTTAATCCCCCTTTTCCTTTTCGCGAGCACTAAAGTTCTATTTATAGGCAGTAGGCAGTAGAAATACAGCTTTGTAGTGTACAATGTACTAGAGTTCATGAACTCTAAAATCTTATACTCCATCCTTCCGAAATTAAGGTTCCCACTTGCCTTTTTGGATGTCCCATATCAAGCTTCCCATTCCTTTTGGGAAAAGGGAAAAAAATTAAGGTGTTAAATGACAATTTTATCATTACTTTTAAAATTAATACACTCAATAACACCATTATCCATTAAATACTCCACACAATTATATTCTCACCCACCAAGTATTTACTTATTCTAATCTTTATGTTTCTTACATGTGTTCAAACAACTTTATTTAACTCTTTGCCTAAAAATGGGTGCCCTTTTGCTATGAAAACTTTCTTTTGCTATGAGAATGTTAGTGCAATTTCTTATAACCCTAAACTTATATTGTTTATGAATTCCATACAACTTCGAATCACCATTTACATGTATAAAATCCTGAACGGAAAAACTAGAAGGTTCTGTTCATAATGTAAATCTGTAGATGTTAGATAAAAAAAACTACCATACAAATTCAAGGTTAAAGAAAATTACTTAAACAGCAGAAACTGAGAAAGGGCGATTTCATGGTATTGAATTAAAGATTTTGGAACCAAATAAGTCAGTATCATGTACTATTGGCTTATAAAAGCATAGTATACAACACACACGTACATACATACATACATACATACATATATATATATATATATATATATAGAGAGAGAGAGAGAGAGAGAGCTCTTCTCATCAGGCCGGCCTGACGGGCTGCCCCGTCCGGCCGAGCCCGTTTGGGTACCTTCCCGGTGGAATTTTTTGATGAAATTTTTTGAGCATGTTCCTCATCAAGTCTAGTTTGTCCATACCAAATTTCAGCTCAAAATTCGATCGGGAAGGTCGTCAAATGATTTTTGCAAGTTAACTGGTCCGGAAAATACATATTCCGGACCAGTTAACTTGCAAAAATCATTTGACAACCTTCCCGATCGAATTTTGAGCTGAAATTTGGTATGGACAAACTAGACTTGATTAGGAACATGCTCAAAAAATTTCATCAAAAAATTCCACCGGGAAGGTGCCCAAACGGGCTCGGCCGGACGGGGCAGCCCGTCAGGCCGGCCTGATGAGATGATTTCTCTCTCTCTCTCTCTCTCTCTCTCTCTATATATATATATATATATATATATATATATATATATGATTGTACAAACACCAAACCAATAGAAAGCACAGCTAGAATAAGAATTAAAATAAACAATTGTGATGTTCCTTGATATATCAAAATAAAGTGTTTCAGGAAATACCAGGAGAGCCCCCTCCTCTGCCGGGGAAGGGGTAAGCTCGTTTTTGCCCAGTCACAGGCGGCGTTTGGTAAGCAGAATTATACCCTAAACCGCCGACCTCGCCTAAGCTGCCGCCTCCTACCGGCCGGAAACCTCCAACCCCTGTTCCACCAGGGCCGGGAGGAAAACTAGGAGGGCTATCAAATGCAAGACGGTCTCTACGGTCAGAACCACCGTAACTGTTAGGGCTGCGGTGCTGATGGTGGTTCATTGGATTCTCGGAGAAAGGGCGCATCGATTGGGGGCCGCCTCTGAAAGGTCTATAGTGATGCTGCGGATCAATCGGGTTGCCGTAACTCTCCCCCCGGTGCCTCTCCATCGACGGAAAAAATGGCAAAAGAGAGATAGAGAATAAATCAGAAGTGAGAATCAACTGGAAGACCAGAGAAATTAAGCTGGCGGGCTGGGGCGGGGGCGTAGCTCAAGACTCAAGGTCGTGAAAAAGGGCATATCAGGTTTAAGGATGTTTTTACTTGGATTTAATTTACTTGTCTGGTCTGATCTGAACTGGTTTGGTCTGGTCTGGTAAGGTTTGGTTTCTTTGTATTTTTATAACTATCCAAGTCTGGTTTGGTCTGGTCTGAACTGGTCTGGACTGGTCTGGTTTGGTTTGGTCTGGGGCAAATTACAGTCCAAGTAAAAACATCCTAATGCAGGTTTAATTCCGTCAGTTTCTAGCATAGTTAAGTTTGTTTGGGTCTTTTGGTAAACATGTAGTCCCTCCATCCCAAATTGTTTTGTAAAGTCAATATTTTTGCTCAACCAATAGTAAAAGTTAATGTTCCGTATTGATAATTAATTCAATTTTTAATAATTAAAATTTACATATTCAAAAACTACATTAAAATCTTTTCAAAGTTGCAAACTCCAAATTAAAATATAAATAAAAATTGACGACCTAATTAAGCGAATAAAATGAAATTGTTTGACCAAAAAAAGTCAAATTTGCAAATCAATGTGGGACTGAGGTAGTAGTATTTTGTTTATGTGTATTTTATAACCGTTGAAATCTGATCTATTTTGTCAAAAAAAATCAATTGTGTTCTATTATGATCGAGAAAAAAAATAAGTTATGTTTTTGTTCTAGGATGTTTTCTTTTGGACTGAAATTTGCTGGTTTGGTCTGGTAAACATTTGGTCTCTGTGTGTTTTATAACTAGAGAAGTTTGATCTGGTCTAATTTGATCTGGCCTGATCTAGTCTGGTCTGATCTAGTCTGGTTTGGGATTGAAAACAATCTCAAAGAAAACATTCTTAATCTAGTCCGGTTTGGGATTGAAATAAGTTCAAGTAAAACATCCTAACGTTTTGCAATCATTTATAGGGAAATTTTATCAAACTGCAGCCCCCGATAATGATACTCTATTATCAAATTGTACCTTTTTCTTCTTCAAATAATAGAAATAATAAAAATTATTTAAAACTGCTCAAAATTTTAAAGAAAATACTTCGTCATGCACCCACTGTGATGCAACTAGTGATATTGCGGTTGTGGAGTTGTTAAAGTCGCACACCGGATATATCTGAAAGAATTAAACACTATATTAATATCAGAGCTACTCCTCCTATCAGGTTGACCTTTTAGAATAAAACCCCGGATCTTAACATGGTATCAGAGACAAATCGATTCATAACCATGGTTTGGGCCCCTTATGAAAAAATACGAAACGATTATAAAAAATGACAATGATGAACCGACGAAAAAATGAATGATGGCACGATCCAGACGAAGTTTCTGGTCGTGAGGAGGAGTGTTAAGGTCCCACACCGGAAAAATTTGAATCAATAAAGTGCTATATTAAGATCTGAGCTACTCCTCCTATCAGAGTTGACCTTTTAGGATGGAACCCCAGATCTTAAAAGTAAATGGTTTATTCTTTATCCATCTTTTCTTACCCGCTGCATTCCTTTTGTTTTCTATTGTTTCAGTAAACTCATAGTTTCTTGGAGATTAAACTCGTATGATCCCTCTAAGTCCCTATGTTCTTAAGTGGTTTCTGGTTTGATCCGAAAATCTTTTATATGTGTACTTTTATTTTATTAACATTATTCGTAATTTTATCAATAGGGGTAACCTATGAAGCACAGATATTTCACTAGAATACTATATCCGTGTATCAGATACTCTGGGACACCTGTACCATACTTTTCCGGATCGTATCTGTAATTTATCCAAAGTCTCTACTTTGTTGGTAATTATTTTAAAGTTTCAGATACCCATATCCTGACGGATACACGTACCAACTTTTTAAAATGCTAGTATGTGAGTTTGTCTATGTTTAGATGTCGATGTTTATGTAGTTTTCACATTTCATACGAGGTAAGGGTCAGATTGGTACTCGAAAATATTTATAGAGGTGTAGTTAAGCATTTATAAACCTAAGGTTCGGAGTATAAATATTGCATACTACCTCTGTCCCAAAAAACTTTGTCATTTCATAAAATTTGGATCATGATTTTGATTAGTATAATATTAAGAAAGTTATAAATTAAACTATATACTTTTATGAAAGTACTTTTAACAAAGAACATTTTTATAAGAGGAAACGGTCCAGCTCAGCTGGTCGCGGACTCACTCTCCTTTATGGGAAGTCTCGGGTCCGAAACTCAATGGAGTGAGTTTCAGCCCAGTTTACTCCAGGCCCCCTAGACCCCCTCCCCCAGACGCCCCCTGGAGAAAAAAGAACATTTTTTATATCATTTTTATATTATAAATCATTTCTAATAAAAAGATATAATTGGTCAACGTTTTTAAAATGACAATGTTTTTTTTTGGGCGGAGGTAGTATGAATGTTTGAGGTGCTTAAATCACACATCTTCAAAGTTTAAGGTATTTAAACTATTTTCCCCTCATTTATATGTATGCAGATTGTACAACAAGTGTTCATATCAGTGTAGGGAAGAAGACTACAGAGCTCCTTATTACTATTAGAGTGCACCAAAGTTTTGCGTTAATTTTTCTTATTTTCCTAGTCAATGATGGACTCACAAAATGAATTCAAGAAGTTATAACATAATGCATAATTTTGCTAGCAATTTGTATGATTATTGAGACAAAAACAAGTGATAAAGTGAAGTTATAATTATAACAATCCTGCTCATAAAGGGTTTCAATAATGCTAGATTCGGTATATGGATTACAAATTTAATGAGTGTAGGCTCTAGTAACAATGAGATTACCCTAGATGGCTAGATGATAAGGACATCTCAATTAGTACTCCGTAATATGTTTCATTAACTAGCTCTATAATTCAAAAGGATGACACCACATTCCTGAGTGTCTCCTCAGAATCGACTCAACAATTACCTTGAAGGATGTAACTTGAGCTTTGACCTCACACTAATGTAAGATCATGATTTAGATACCATACCAAGTCTTTGCTTGGAGTTGTATCCGAGATCTCTTCCTCGTGGCACTCTCTTCCTACCAGGTGAGCTACGCCCCCGATAGGGACAATCGTTCATGATTTAGACGATGATGTATCTCATAGAATCAAAAGAGGATGAATGGAATGGAAAAGCGCATCAAATTTTCTATATGATAGGGTATGCAGATTACATTTAAAGGTAAACTTTAACGAACAATGATTAGACTTACATTACTATATGACAATGATTTAAAGGTAAACCAGAAGCCAATAAAAAACACTCACGATAAAAAAGATGATTTCATTTACCCGGTTTATTAAAACTATGACTCACCCTACAAGCTAGAAACGTGTCTCAAACCCTACAAGTCATCACACCCGGAGGCAAAGACGTACCCTCCCTATCTCCAACGGACCATCCAATTTTACAATAAATAAAACTGGTCGCTCTTAACCATTGCAGAGGAGCCAGAAAAAACTCTTTCTTTCGTGCTTTGTCTTGTACCTTTTCAATTGAACTTTTGTTTTGTAAATTATACTTTTAATAAACTTGGAAAGCGTGTCCCGACATTTTCCTCACTTCTAGTGGCTTCTCTGAGAATTAAAACAAATATGATGGAGATCCAAATAGAAATCCATTTGCAGCAAAAAAAAAGACAAAGTGTTTGACAATAGAGCCTTGGCACATTCAAAAGATGAATGTATAGGCATGCTAGAAAACAACATTTGAGAAAATCGTGTTATGTATATGTGAAAAATTAAGATGTGGGAAGAGGAGGCAAGACAGAGAGGGAGGGACGAGCTAGAGACGTGTGGATTAGAGTGGTCAAAATAATACTACATATAGTTTTCTTAGGTTAGATGAAAGAATGACTTTGAAGTGTACAAAATGGAGGAGTTGGAGAATTAATCTGATGTTATTCCTCTCTGTTTTCTCTATTTATTATTTTTTACTCCGATATGATATCTTAATTTATGTTAACCGACCCGAACTCTTTCGGTAATAAGGCTTGGATGTTGGGTTTGTGTGTGGATGACACTAGGTAAAAATACATCTAAAATGTGTAAGATTATGAAATTGTTTTTGCAGCGGGAGTAAATATGAAGAAATCGAATATATTGAGAAAAATATCAAATTAGTACCTCAACTTGTCTCGACTCTCGACTAGCATTAAGAGTATATCATCTTGGAACTGATACAACAAAGCATCTAACTTGTTTTTTCATGTTAATTAAGTACAACTTTAATTCTCACGTTAAAAAAAAGATGAGATGCCACAAATGGGCCATTTACTTTATAACGTTAGTATCCTTGTCAGCAAATATTCACTCCTACAAACCCTAATTACCTTTCAGGACTTCACTTCATCTCCTCTTCTTTCTACTTTTGCTTTTTTCTTTTTTCTGTGTTGCTCTTCTTTTCCACCTTTCTTCTTCATTTCATTTTCATTTTATTCCTCTTCCTTTGCTACATAATTCCTTGAGCTTTCTCGACCCTGTCTCCGAGGGACAGTTGAACGAGCGACTCATGAATGCTGCCGGGTCGGACGAGCCAGAAGAGGTTTCTATTTTCAAGAGCAGCCTTACAAATAGGGGTGGACCGGTTCCGGTTTGGGCCCGGTTAGGGCCTGGGCCCGGCCGGGCCTCGGTTCAGAAAAATGAGGCCCGAGCCCGAACCGGTGGTGGGCGGTTCCGGGTCCGGTTCCGGGCCGGGCCACCCGGATTTTAATTTTTTTTTTCTTCTTCTCTCATTTAACCCCCTACCCCTTCCTCTCCACCCCAACCACCCCAAACCACCTCAAATGGCCCAAAATACCTAATCCAACCCAAAACTTAAAAAAATTTCAAAAAAAAAAAAATTAAATTCTGGGCCGGGCCGGTTCACTAAACTGGAGGCCCAGGCCCGGACCGCTATACCACCGGGCCGGGAGGCCCGAACCGGGCACGAACCAGTTCACCGGGCCGGTCCGGTTCCAGGCCGGTTGGCCCGGCCTGAGTCCATCCCTACTTACAAACTTCACTACAAGAAAAGTCAGAGGGTTGAGAAGGAGTTGGTTGCTGTCTTCTGCGTGAGCCTTGACTACCATATTCTGCAGCTTCTCTTCTTCCCTCCGTCCACGAGGCTAAAAAAGAGACAAGGAGGCGGGTATCTAGCTAGGCTTGGACCCGGTTTGGGCCACCCGGCCCGGGGACCGACCCGGTACTGTGCGGGCCCAGCCTAGCCCGGGAACCGGGCACCGGTTCCGGGTCTAAGCCCGGTTTGGGGTGGGTAATCAGGTCGGATACGGGCTTAGGTAAATGAGAACCGGCCTGTCCGGTTCCGGGCCCGGTTCGGGCCTTTCATTTTTTTTGTTGGTTTGGGGCTTTGGGCTGGGTTTAAATGGGCTGGAATGGGTCTTTCAGATGGGTTTGTGGGGTGGGGGGTAGGGGATAAAAATAATCAAGCAAAAAAAAAAATAACCGGACCCAACCCGACCCGGGCCCGGACCGACACCGGTCTACTTCCGGGCCGGTCTCGGGCCTAACAAATTTTTTTAGCCCGGCCAGGCTTAGGCCTGACCCAGGCCCAGAACCGGTTGAGTCCATCACTATTAATCTAGCGGGAGACGTTTTAATTGTATGCCATGAGGTCTCTAAACTCTCTATGGACAGAGGGTGAGATAGGGGTGGACCGGTTCCGGGCCGGGCCGGGCCCGGTTCTGCCTTGAACCGGCCGGGCCTCGATTCAAGGTAGGGGAGGCCCAGAACTGGCCCGGGCCGGTTTGGGCCGGGCCCGGTTCGGTTCTAATTTTGTTTTTTTTTGGGTTTTCCTAATCAACCCCCTACCCTCCCCCTCAACCCCAAACCACCTCAAATGGCCCAAAATACCCAACCAACCCAAAAACTTAAAAAAAATTCAAAAAAAAAACAATTTAATCCGGCCCGGACCGGGCCGGTTCACCAAAATGAAGGCCCGGAACCGGTAGCCACCAGGCCGGGCCGACCCGAACCGCCCATGGGCCAGGCCGCCGGACCGGGCCGGTTCTGGTTCGGGCCGCCCGGCCCGAGTCCGTCCCTAGGCGAGTCCGTCCCTAGGTGAGAGGGGCAAGTGAATAATAGCTTCTGGCAGTCTTCTACCTTCCATCCCACTCCATCTGTTGTATTATACTAATCCATAACAGAAAATCCAAAATTCACTGAACAAGACAATAGACAACAACTTTCACACAAACCCTAAAAACACACCTTTCGTGCGATTTATCACTCTCCATTATGAAATTTATACGCTGAGTTGTCTGGTCACTCTTCAATTTTCTTTACAAGTACACAACTTTTTTCTCAAATTAGTGAGCCACCAAATAAACGGGTTAAATCTTGGCTTTAAATTAATTGGAGACTGCCTAGTGAAACAAACATATGAGTTTGACCTCCAAAGTTGTATACCACTGCTATGGTGCCAATAGATACACTACTTCAGCGCCGTTATCAGACATTGCAGGCTGAGCATATATTTCTCGTATATTGTACCACACCGAGAAGAGGGACGTGCACCTCCAGCAACAACAAGAATGGAACCATAGGCTCTTATGCTAGGAGCACTTCGGGGTATCGGTCTAACCACCTCAACTACTCGCTTCTGGCATGCTATAGTTATGAAAGTATCTCGACAACAGGAATGGGATATCACCGGTCAGCAACAACATTAGCCAACTCATCGTTTTTTAACGTCAGTATAACAAACGTACTCAAGTGATAGTAAAAAGTCATGTTGACGTACTATGAGACATCGGATACAAAATGATGTACCCATTATGCTACGTGAGACAAGTTAAGGTACACTTTGACACTTTTCTCCGAATATTTTACTAGCTTATGTAGCATATCACAAACTGAAAGCTTTAGCAATACGATGAGTTGCGTGAATCACATTGACACTCCATATCCATGTATCAAACATTGGGAGAGGCTGCGCTAGGATTGTGGGTTACTGCCTTACTGGGTGATTTTGTGCAGAAATACTACTACGTAGTACACACTATGAAAAACATAAGAGAATGGTTCCGTGTATAGACAGTAGCAACTAACTAATAAAACAATATGCTTCTAATTTTGAGTCTTCATTTCCATTCTATTGAAGTATTTCAGTCTTAAAACCTTCCCAGTTCCTACAAGTGAAAATGAATCTATAGTCTATATATCCCATCCTTCACACTTCGTTTGGGACAAGGGGAAGAAGTGGCTAATATTTTGGTTGATATAGTGTGTTTCTGATATTAAATCATTCAAGTATGCAAGGTTCTGAAAGATGCGAATATAACTAAATCTGGTACTTGAAAAACATTCTGGGACAAACCAAATGAAAAAATGGAAAAAGGAGAGAGGATATGGTTCGATACTGCAATTCAATTTGCCCCAGCTATGGCTATGATAATCAGAACTAATATAGAAACTACCCTTAACCTATGGCTGTGCTTCATTTTTAAGTCAACACTAATGAAAAAAATGCTAGAAGATAATTTAGAGATACAAAACCCACAGAATGCTTCATTGAAATGATCAGTTTTCCACATCTTAGAACAGGAACTACAGATATCATGGGATTTCCTCACTCACAGCTTAGTTACAAGTCTATAGATCAGTAAAGAGTGAAGCACGCTAGACATGTCACTCGCTACTTATCTTTGGATGAAACGCCATATTTCTCTTGAAGCTTCTGAATCTCCTCTTCCTTCTTCTTCTGGTCGAACTTCTTGCTCATCTTGGCGTGCTGATAGTACAACACTATCAAATACCTAACCAGATCGATTTCCCAAACATTAAAATTATACGAAACAGATAAACTGAAGATCATATATGTATACACAGTAGTTAGGAGTTTAGATCCGATACCTATTCGCGACGTTGAATCCGGAGAGGTGGTCGACGGCGGTCTTGGCGTCGTAGATATCCTCGTAGACCACGAAGGCGGTGCCGCGGGTGTCCTTGTTTGTTCCGATTCGGATCTGCCTGATGGCTCCATATTTGCCGAAGATGTCGTACATCTCCTCGCTGGTGATGTTGAACGGCAAGTTCCGGACATATAGAACACGATTGACCTCCGGCGGCAGGCGCGTGTTCCCCTTCCGTAGACTTACCGCGGCCATATCCTCGACTGAAAGGGTCGAGACCTGCGAACCACCACCTAAACGAACTTGGTGAGGAAAGAAAGGGCTGAAATTTGGGTGGGCTGGGCTGTTTTTTGATATCGTTCAAATCCAAACTATTCCGGTTTATTAACATTTATAGGAGTATCTTTCTCCTACGCCCCAAAAAGTTTGAGAAAATTATCAGTTTGGAGTTTTGGACTCCTTTTCTCAACAATATTTGTTTTATTTATTGGAAAAATTGGGATTATTAATTCCAATTATTCACGATCCAATTTTTTTTTGAAGGGGAATTCACGATCCAATTTTAATAATCTCTACTATGGATTATTTCTCTATAGTCCCAACTTTTGTCACCCTTTTCTTTAAAGGTAGACTGAATACTGGTTCAACTGGTAAATCCAATACCAAAACATATCAATCGGTTAAGCCATCCCCAACCCCATATTCCATCGGGCCCACTAGAGATAAACAATTAGTTTTCTTTCATCACCTCTCGCCTCCCTTGCAGCTGGAGAAATCGAAGATAATTTTTTTTAAAATCGAAAATGCAAGATAAATTAGAGAGCAGGAGATGCGCATTAGTCAACTTTTCTTCTTCTTCTTTTGTGTAATTAAACATTTCAATGATGCCGAACAATGGAAGGTCGTCCTGGGAGATAAGAAAATCATTGGAGAACTATAGGCGACGCGAAGAGCAACGCGAGGAAGACGACAAACTCTTCTTGCACTAAAAAAATCTTAGAAATTTCTCATATTGATTTTTAGCTGAAAAAAATCAGATAAACAGATAGGATGATTAAAGATCAAAGCCGAATTTCTTCCAAGGTCCAGAGAGTGATTTGGATTTTCAAAACAAAGGGAATTTACGATCCAAGATCGTTTGAAGCAGCGGCAGGATAAGACAGAGAACGAGACAAAACTTCAATTACGGCTCGGTCTATTTCTCGTGTTTAGCCGTCGTTACGTTGATCGTTCGGTGCAGAGTTGTTTAGTAGACATAATTTTGGTAGCTTTAGATGGATAGTGAAACTCGGATTCATAGATAGACCAGCGAAGAAACACACATGAGTAAACTTAAGAGGATGCCTTTTCATCTACAGAGTACCTTATAAAACATGTGAGATGCACGCGTCTAGTCTTTCCGGTCATAATTTTATGCGAACAGGTAAGGGACTATTTAAAGAAAAGGGTGCCTAAAGTTGGGACTACAGGAAAATAATCCATAGTAGGGATTATTAAAAGTGGATCGCGAATAGTTGGGATTAATAATATCAATTTTTGGGCTGTTTTTTAGAAAAACAATTCTCATTCCTGTAGTCCCATACACTGAAAAACAATTCCATTCCAACTAATTTTTAGAAAAACAATTCTCATTCCAACTAATAATCTCGTGCCAAAGCCTAAGAGGACTAATATTAAAGAACGGAGGGAGTAAAACTATTCCGGTTTATTTGCTTTATTTATTTTTTATATATGATAAAACCGTTTATTTATAAATATAGAGAAAATATGCAAGACAATATCCAGACAGCTATTACAGATCCGATCATAAATCCTAGAAATAGACATAAAATTAGTCATATATACAAAGCAATCTGGCTCGCTAGACACAAAGCGTGCAAGATTAAGCCTAAAACGATCGAAAATGAATCACTGTCTATCACAATTTTTTCAAAAAGTAAAATACTCCAACAATACATACTCGAATAAAAATAAAAATATGTACTACTAAAGGAAAAATAATACGGAAATTAAAACTTTCCACAAGAATCATAGGTATGCTTAGGCACTCATTTAGAAGGCTGGTGTTATAATGAAATTGCTACTCTTATGGTTCCTTCAATAATTACCCAATTACTCCGTATTAAACAACAACAAAAATAGTAGACCCTTAATACGGAGTATATTACTGCGTACGGAGTATAATTTATTGATTAAACTTAAAATAAAGATATTTCAAAAAAAACTTAAAATAAAGAAGTACATACACAATCTTGTGAGATATTTGAGAATAAGGCATGGATGTTGTTTATCTTTCTATTCTCTTATTTTTTAAATACTAATTAATTAGACCACTCAAACTTAAACAAATAGATGATGAATTGATGATACATATTGGTTTTGCACGTAATATATTTATATATCTATATACATCAAATAATAAGTTATAGTATCATACTAAGCACGTTGGCAACAATTCAGAACTTTACAATTTATTTATTTATATTTTACTTAAAGTACCAAGTAGTAATTGGAGTAAATGATACGGAGTATGTGTATGTATCTTTAATAATTTTGACTTTCATTACAATGTTAAAGCATTTGTTCGGAAAGCCATAAAATAATTAAATACTCTATAAGGTTTTGGATTACTGCTTCTGTCAGGTTGACTTTTCAGGATGAAACCCCGGGTCTTAACATGTTATCGGAGTTAATTCCGATTGTGGTTTGACGGCTTGTTTAGCACTCATGATTAAGGGTACCTTGTTAAGGATTTGTTTGACCCATTTATACACCCTGATATTGTCCATCCCGGTTCGGGCTAAGGGAGCGTGTTAAAGCATTAGTCCCACACCGGAAAACTATAAAACAATTAAACACTATATAAGTAAACGATCAATTTATTTTACGTTCTTGAGTACGTGATTTTACCCAAGTAGTATACAATATACAATTATACAAATGATGGAAAACAAATAAACAACGTACAGACACTGGAAATGCAATAAGCACAACGGTATATGCGGTTCTCAATTTCTTTCTAATCTGGGCTAGGAATCCTGCTTTGCAAGAATCACAGTAGAAGCAAAGTTTGATTTGGTCATTGCTTCACCTCGCACACTCAGCGTCTAAAATTGTGGTTTGATTGCGTGTTGATCTTGCTGCTCTCCAATATGTTGGGTTCACATAAGTAAACCCACATTTTGCAGGTAGCATACAACATCCAGTCTGCCGCCATGGGCGAAATATGCATCCCGTAGTCCGCCGCCGTCAAACCACATGATATGTCAAACAAAAAGTAATTACTTTGTATCCATATTGAAAATTTGTGGTCTCAGTGTAGTCTCGTCCAAATTGGTCTGATCACTTTAAATCTGGTCTAATTCAATCAGGTAAATGTTTGTTGGGAAAGTAATTCCTAAAACAGGAGTAAACAAGTTTTGAAGTTTTTAAATAAGACTGCTATATTTTTCTTCCCGAAATATGAGTAACATGACAGTAGTTACTGTCTTCTTGAAGTCATTAAATGGTCTATTTTGAAAACAAACTCATAGTTAGTGTATATTTGAAAGAAACTCTTAGAAGTGATAAATTTGATACTAGTATTATTTTCACTTTTTAATCTACTTGTGAAAATTTCCCATCTCAAAATGAGGTTACAAGTATAGGCTTCTCTACCAAATGGGCTTTAAAAAGAGCTAACATAATAGGTAAATTATACCGTACACCCGGTTGTACGGTGAGAACCGTACAACCGGGTATTTTTGCAATTAATTGGAATTCCGGAGGAAGAGATCGGTGGATTGGGAGAGATAGGTGGATTGGGAGGGATCTGAGAATTCATTCGGTGGCTTCAAGCTGGTGTTCTCTGAGATTCTGGGAGTTGATGAACGAGACGCCGGCGGATGGATGTCTACTGCTCGCTGGATCTTCTGCTCGGTTGATGAAGGAGAATCCCGGAGTGGCGGTGTGGTCTTCTGCTCGCTGGATGGATGACAGCTAGTTGCTGCTACGTTTTTCTCTTTTGTGTTTTATGTTCTTCTTTTCTTGCTTTTACGTTTTTCCTTCTTTAGTTCTTTCTTTTTCTTAATTTTTTTTATCTTTATTCAATTATAAAATATTTTAGATACTTTATTCAATTATGAAATATTTTACATACTAATGTTTTGTTTTACTATAGCTCATTTTGTTAGTTACACATGCTCATTTGATATTGGTTTTATTCTCATTTTAAAATGTCATATCAATACACAAATCAATATTGAGCACAATATAATAGAAATGAGTTTAATGTTAAATTCAAATGAGTATAACGTCTAAAATGAATGAACATACACAGATGCGTTTTGAACTTTTTTGATACTCATTTTGTAAGTTATGTATGCTCATTTGGTAATGTTTTGTGCTCAATTTAAAAGGTTGCACATTTCAAATATATCATACTACATTAGATTCACATCAGAAATAACTTTTATGTTTAAGTCAAATGAGTAAAATGCCCAAAACGAATGAGCACATACAATTATACAAATGAGCTTTTGATTTTTTATACTCATTTTGTAAGTAATGTGTGCTCATTTGGTACTGCTTTATGCTCATTTTAAAAGGTTGCACATTTCAAACATATCATACTACATTAGATTCACATATTGAAATTAATTAAAATTTAGACATAACTTAAGACTTTAATAAACGAAAAAATAATAAACAGAAACTGATATATAAGGTATGAAGCAGAGATCATTGATGCTCACCGTTAGGTTCCTAATACTCAAACGAACAGGCTTGATGCTCATCAAATTTGCATAAATGCTCATTTAATTGAGCATCAAATATCCACTATTGAGATGAAAATCACAGTTTCTGGTGAATGAGCATTAATGAACTGTTAATGAGCATCAGACCTATTATGTTGAGTATTAGAAGTCTAATATTCAGAATCGTGATCTCTGCTTCATAACTTCTAATTCACTTTCTTTTTGTTATTTTTCCTTTTATAATAACTTATTAAATTATATTTCTAATCAACTCCTATGAAATTCAATATGTGAACCTAATGTAAAATAGTACTTTAAAGCAAATGCATTGATATGCCATTTAGAAATGAGCATAAGATCATACGTAACTTACAAAATAGTTTGATATGAAAATCGTAAAGTTTGTTAGTTTGACATAACAATATATTCATTGAACATCAAACCTCATCTATTGAGATGAAAATCAGAATTTTTGTTAAATGAGCATTATTGAACTTTTAATGTGCGTCAGACCTATTATGAGCATTAAAACACTTTCGATGAGCATCAGACTTATTAGGAACCTAACAATATATAATAAAATTATAAATATATTTATATAAATTAATAGTATGATTCATAGGTCA